AAACATAAATCCCTACTCACAAGTCAGCACAAATTGGAAATGACCCCATTTCATGAGATGCATTGATTACAAAGGTATAACCGACTATTGTTTTCATCAACTGCATGTTCACCAAATTCACATAATGGTTTCTTAGAAACAACATTGAATATGGAAAGACTATATAGGTTACTTCATTTAGTCATATGCTTACAAACTACATATAAACTGTATATTAATGAACCCCTACACCTCGTGAAAGGATTTATAATCCTCCCAAAAGCACACATGCCACAAACAATAATTGGTGGCATCAAATCTTTCACAAATTTGATCTAGTGAGAATGAAGTTACAAGTAGAAGGTATAAAATTCATAATAACCTAGGGCTATAACTATATATTGCAGGTCACAAAGGAGAATTGATCTTCATCACTGTTTCTAATAGGTACCCACACTGTATTGTTTGTCATGAATTAAATGGTTATGAATACAGCTACTACACTATTATAAAGCAGAACAAAAAAATTTCAGCATAGGCTCCAACCACAATCACACTAATATTCTAGTTAGGCAAGTATGATGGGAGGTAATCAGCATGCCAAGTGTTTCTCCATAAAAATAAATAAGTTCGATGGCCCACCTCTATTTGCCACAGGAATAGAACCATCAGCTGGAGGACCGTAATGATTGAAATGTCCTTGGTTCATAGGTGGGGGAGGATAATTCCACCTCATGCCAGGTACTGATGGATCACGGGGTGGACCATTGTACATGGGTGGGTGAACCATCCTAGGTCCATCAGGATAGCATGAGCCTGGCCCTGGTATGTAAGAAGGTTATGTCTGAGCATATAAAGGAACATAACAGAAAGTGGATAGAATATAAGGAAAAAAAAACATGCTTACCAGAGCCACCAGGATACGGAGGCCTCCAGCAGTCCCCAACATTATCATGAGGATTGAAGTTGTTTCTATCATGATCCCTATAGAAGTTCCCATTTTCTGCATTACATGGGAGAAATCTGTTGGGATGAGGAGGTGGTGGTGGTGGTGGTGGTGGTGGTGGGATATCCCCCCATGTTTGAATTCTTGGTTCTTGGACGTACGAAAACTGATTTGAAGGGGCAGGCAGAGGAGGGCGCAAATGAAAACCCTTACTGAAAGCATCAGGTGGCTGCATGCCGTTAGAAGCTTGACCAGATAAAACGGCGTTGGGCCTATCACTGCAAGAACTGACGTTATTGGAGTCCATAATCTGTCTAGGCATCTGAGGCTCAAAATTATTGCCATGGCCCTGTCGATTCCCAATATCAACTGGTGGTACATTCACAGTTGGATGAACAGGCTGACTCACTAAGGATTCCTGTAAGCTTCCGTTAAAATTCTGCATATACAAAACTCAATCATATACCACAGCAGCACTCATATTTGAGAAATTAGTTATTATCTAGGGGCAGAGTATCACCTGAGAACTTGAATAGGGCCTTGATTCATGGCCATTAGAAACAGAGTTAAGCACTGTAGGAGGTAAAACAGATGGTGGGTGTGGCGCCTGCGGAGGGGGAGGAGGAGGAGGAGGAGGAGGCAGGGGACCTGACAGAGGAGCAACTGTCATAGATACATCCTTCGGCGGTTGGGTTGAGAATGGCACCCCATAATGGTTGCTAAATTGATTATGTGGTGTTTTCATGTGCTGTTCTTCTCCATGTGTATCACTACCCCCAACTTCACAACTGGGTGCTGCATCCTCCATTTCAAGCTCACCATCAACATCTTCCAAGATATGACTTCGCTTCTGAACAGCTTGAACCAGAGGAGTTTCCCCATTAGAATTTTCATTATTATGCTCTGGAGTAACAGCCTCAAAGCTCTCTCCATCAGAATCACTCCCACCATTATCGCCACCCAACATAGGAGGCAAACCGAGGCCAGAAAGTTGAATGCTTGAATTGCTAGAGATAACAAGGAGAGAACATCAGTAACAGAAGGTGTACCACCTAAACATACGGTTGATATCGGATTGAAAGAACTGAATTTACAGCAACGTAACAAAACTAAAATGATATAGGCCTTGAAGTTCATTTGAAAATATAATCATCCAAAAGGAACAATGGCCTTATCATTACAGATAAGAAATCCATCATTATAGTTCCTTCAGTTCAAAACACTATATCAAAAGGAAAAATGACTTGGTTAAATACCAGTGGCTTGTTTATTATGATAAGACTCCTTTATGTAAGATGAAATGGAGAAAAAATACACTACCTTCCATATTCATCAACCAGCATACCCTCCATTTCTCTAATGGGATCATCAAAAGCTCTTTCATTTCTCAAAGGCCGGCGGGAACTGACACTAGGGTATGAACCACAAAGCGCATCAAGCTGCTGGATGTGGTGGCGTATGATGGGTTCTGGAAGAATCTTCCTCTCTTGCCAGACCCTCAAAACCTATGCATCAAACCACAAAAGGAAATGTTCATCAGCAATGAATTTTTTGAGGAGCACATAACGAAGAGAAAAAATTATAAAACAGCATGACAAGGCAATAGGCCCACTCACTTTCAAGCATTGCCTATGATTCTGATAAGAACTACTACCAGAAGGGGCGGCAGCTAACAATAAACGAGGCAAGAGTGCTTGGATTGCAGAGGGATAAACACCAGCATCACCTGAAAAAAAGAATAGTGTCGTAAAATGCTTAAACATAGAAACAGCCAGTACACACACGCACAAAGAGGGGGGGTATCAATGTTATGAGAAGAAATTTGGGTATGGGGTACCTTTCATGCCTTTGGAACATTGAGTGATAGAATCAACGAGGAAAAACAAGTCCACTTTTTTGTGTAAACTCGACTCCCTCTCCAAACTATGCACCAGTAATTCTACAACCTTAAGAAAAGAAAAGAGAGGAAGAGTGGAGCAACATTAGTGCACACCATAACAACACACATGAAACATAAATTAGAGAAATCCATAGCAGGAGACACTGCCAAAAACAGTCATTGTCTAAAATGACATACAGTGGGATGTAGACAAAAATGAAATACAAGAATGTTAAGCAAGCTTTTCAAGAAGTATTCATTTGAGTTCCTTAATTTACAAATAATTAAGATATAAAACACTATGAAGTAGATGCTGCATTAACATTGCCTATCTTCAATTTCCGAAAAGAATAAAAGCAACATATAAGCACATTTGGTTTAATACAAGAAAAGTTCAAATAGAGTTTATATGAGATTCACAATGGGTATAACAGCAGTCAACCACACTCCAGAATGCTATGCAAGGAATTCTTAAAAAGAAACAGGTTTACCAAAAGGTGAAGTCTTACCTTGGTTGCAAGACCAAACTTTGCACAGTTAATAGCTATCCTTGTAGCTCTTCCTATGCTTTCTTTCGTTCTAGTCAATGTTTTAATGATAGCTTCAAATGATGACAAGGATTCCCATTTGTTGCTTGACTTGACAGCAAGTTTAGCCTTTTCCAGATGCAGGTGGACATCAGGACTGCAAGAACTATTATTCTCATGTGTATTATTAGTATTGTCAGGCACGCGTACGTCACAAAAAGAAGAATTGGGAGGCGATGCCCTTGCAACAGAGCCTGGCCCATCAGTCAGAGATGAGGAAGACCGAGTGACGGAAACAGTTTTGTCATCAATGGCATCATGGGAAAAAGAATTAGAATGAACTGAGCATTGTCGATCTCTTCTGCCAAGGATCTTTGAAGGTGAAGTGGAATGCGTCATTTTTGGACCCAAGGAAGGCCGTTTGGCTTCTTCCACAAACTCAGACCTGAAGACAACCAGCATAGAGATTCAAACATGATATATCAGATTGAAATAGACAACAATATTCTAGAAAACAACCAGCGCATATGCAGAAGAATAAAAGTTATTCATGAAAACTCACTTCTTATTGTCTGGGTTATTTTCAGCTTGCAGAGGATGCTCCATCTTCTGAATTTCACTGGTTGCATCATTTGCAACGACGAGCTGGTTAACTTTCTCAATTTTAGGTGAATCAACCACAATTTCTTCCACAGAGACAGCATCTAAAGTCCTCCTGTTATTCTCGAACCCATTCACAGCTCCTTTCACCTCTGAACATTCAATCTTGCATCCATCTATGAGATGCAGCATCAAATCAGGTGCCTCAGAGTCTAAATAATTTGATGGCTCACCATTATCTAATGAATCTGGTTTTCCATTAGGCCCAGTAGGATTTTTGCAAGGGGCCACAAATGAAGGTGATGGTGGCATGCATTTACTATCACTACAATCGTCAGTCTGCTCAAATTTTTCGCATGATTGTGTATTTGTGCTATCCACAAAACCGTTTTTACCATAATCTGAAACGCATGCATTATCTTGTGTGTTATTTTTTGAAGTTTCCATTGTCTTAGTACAGGACTTGGAAGCACTTAATGGAGAATTGCCATTGTCCAGATGCTCCAGCTTTTCTGAACTCATTTTGACACCTTCCCTTTCCGCAGGCTGCTCAGAAAACACCTCAACGGAGCAACTGTCATTTCTCTTACTATCAACAGCTGGCGATAAATTGGAAGCTGCTTGGCAATCTTCAGCTGCATTAGCACTCATGGCTTCCAAAGCACGATGGAGGCGTTTAAATGGAGGTAAAGCAGATTCCTCATCCACAAAATTCTTCTTCGCCTCCTGAAACAGCTGATTTCTAGCTGGACTTGCACAAGATAACGGAGAAATAGGAATATTTTCTTTAACAGGAAAAGATTCCTGATCAGCAGGAACATCAGCCATGGAACTCAATGGCTCAGAGGACCGCGCATGAAGATTTTCTGGAACTTCAAGCATGTTTTCCTCTTTATACACCAAACTAACTTTTTCCTTTGTTTCTGGTGATGGTCTGCCCATGCGAACTCTGGCTCTCTTGGCAAATGGTAAGTGCTCATCACCGTCATCCTTGGCATTTTTTTGGGCTAATTGCTCGGTAAAACTGGGGGAGATACATCCAGACTTTGGCAACTCAGCATCTGAAGCTATTACTTCAGTGCTAGTGGCCTCCACAGAATCATGATTATTCCTTTTGGAATGAGGCATGCTGCTTTTCTCAAAGATATTCTTAGTATCCAAATCCACCTTACCACCTATCACTGTTTCCACTACATCATTGTTTCCCCCAGATGGCCCCGACTCTGTTTGTTTAGTACCCAATGCATCATTGCTTCCATCATTGACACTCAATGTATCAGAGTCAACACTCATAATTTCAGAATCACTTTCTTCACTCACACCATTTGATACAGAATCAAGTGAATCGTTGTCCCGTCCCTCAGAGTCATCCGATGGCTTCATCAACCTTCTACTTCTTCTCAAAGATCTCTCTCGTAGAACACGATTACCTGCTCGCCTAGAACTCCTAATGGTATTGACAGGAGAAATATTGTTTTGTGGTCTACTAGAACTACTCCTTGAATTTTTCAATTTTCGATCAAACTTGTTGCCCTTTAAGCCACTATTCCTTGATCTGGTAACATCTCTTTTTCTTTTGAGCGAATCATTGGACACTATATCCTTAGGTATCTCCCGATCACGCAAAGCATCTTCCGCTGCTGCAGCTACAGCAGCTTCGGTCAGAGACTTCAGATTATTACTTGCCTCAACAGAAGGCGGATCAGGTACTGGAGGTTCATTCTTCATGCGCTTGGTCAAGGATTCCTCTGAGTTGTATTCATTGGTGATGTTAGTTTCTTCGGTGCCATTAGCGCTGTTAACTTGCTCCTGTTTCTTCAACTTTTCAAAACAATCACTAATTTCTTTAACAGCTCGAACAAAATCAGCACCTTTTCCATGGCGTTTTCCCAATAGAGAAGCTTTCTTCTCTTCTGTGAATTCTTCAATATCAACTGGATTACAGAAGGCACTGTAAAAGAGAACCAATCCCATGAAGAATCAGCATGAGACAATTATTAAACCAGAAAATCAAGTATATGCTAGAAAGAGCTCCACTGTATTGCAGCTCTTCCAAATATTAAAATTGGAATGACAGTCAGAAACAACTTGAAATCCAATGACAATATAGTGCAAGACACAAGGATCCAGGCCCACTGCAAACACTAAAAGATTAAGATCTCACTATCATCTAAATTTTTTAGACCTTTAGTTGATATGCAGCAACACCATAAAAAATGATCATGAAACCAAAAACACCACAGAAAGAGGTTATAGGGTTTATAAATTCTGAAGCTATCCAGTATCACATTGACAAAATTGAAAGCTAATTTTTTGCTTTGAGCCTTTGACAGCTATAAACTCTTAACCATTGTACATCATGACATGAAGACACCCCATGGTATCATATTCTTTCATCTAAAAATAACAGTTAGTACTCAAACCACAAGCACAGAAGTTTAAGGACAACAAGAGCCCGTGAATAAAACAGAAAACACAACTTACCCAATTACAACATAGAGTAAAAGGTATTAACTATTAATAAGAATTATATTATATCAGAATAACATATGATTTGAACAGGATAATTAGAAGAAAGTTTGCACTCCATGCAAACACTATTCCAATTTACTCCATGATTATAATAAATGCATAAATAAACCTGTTCTTTCCCATACAGTATTAACATATTAGTCTCAAGTGTCGATATCCCCATGTGTCCATTTCTGTTATTGCATTTTCATTTGGAAAGTTTCTCTTCCACACAACCTTTATGCAAGGTGTGGAAATATATTTCAACACAAGGTATTGCCCTTTGTACTACCCACTACCACCACCACAAGACATTTCTTCCTCAGAAGTTGGGGATTTCTGAATTTCCACCAATTTGATATGATTTTTCATTCATAGTGAGGGGAATGTGCCACATCATTGTGGCATTCTAACAATAGCAAGTCAAGCCAACATAAATGAAGGGTTAAGGCGCTGTGTTTCATACCATATATTGGCAATGTTAATTATCATCTTTAATATGTTGTTCAATTTCTTGGGAATCTAAAATTAGTATTTCCTAGCCTATCATGGCAATAGGGGAAGCATTGATCTATCAGTTTGGCTATAGTTTCATCTATCTTTCAGGATCTCTTGTGTTTGTGGTTGAAGCTTATTTCTTCATCAATAAAATTCATTTATTCTCCCAACCAGAAAAAAATAAATAAATAAATAAAAATTGAGAAAAATAAAAAAATAGAAAGGGTCACAGTAAATCCTATGTATTAGTTTCTGTGAAATAAAAATACATAATGCTAAAGAAGATTTTTTAAGTCGTTAACTTTAAAATCACTATCATCCTTTTCAAAACCTTTTGCCCTTGCACACAACAGTAAAGAGTTTTCGAACATAAGATTGGCCTATGGTTGAACAACTTAGAATTTTATTGATTCCCACTCCTTTACCCAACTGTCTTTTGGCCACTGCAGTTCTCACCTATTGCTATCAGCTTTATCCTATATTTCGTCATCAAAACTCATCCTCTTTGGGCTTCAGTGGCTTAAGAAACTTTCTTGATTTGAGGGGAAGCCACTTAGCCAACTGATTTGTAAGTTCTACAAAATCCACTATGGTCTTTATTCATGGTTTGGTTGTTTTAGCTTCATGGATAGTTCAGATATTTGGGATAACCTGTTGTGAAGCAAATTGTTTCAAGTATTTTATCGCCTCCTTCAGTCCTCTAAACTCCACATTACTTTGGTTGGTTGACTATGTTGACAATATAGTTATCACTACAAGGAATACATTAGGCATATCTCAATTCTCAACTTAAACTACACTGGAATTGAATTTTTTAGACAACAGACATGAGCGCCCTTGAGGACAGTGTTCACATCACCTTAAAAGAAAATGCATTGGACATCTTTACCCAACAATAAATAAACAAATATTATTATTAGTGAGCCAGTGGTGGTAGTTGTGGTGAGAGGGAGGGAAAGTGAAGATTGCTTGGACGTCAAAAAAGTTCAATGAATCCCAAGCCAAAGTCATGCTAGAAGAGAAAAATTAACCATTTGCTACAAACTATTGCTCAAGTATGTTGCACACATCTCACATCTTATTCCATTCTCAGTAAATGTCATAAGCAAACAACTTTATTTTCCGTGCAAAACACAGTAGAAAGTTATAATCTGGGTTGCCAAAACAAGGAAACGGAATTCTTCACTCAATGAAGAGCCACAAGCAGCATAGGGTTACACAGATGCAGTTATAGGTGTCACTTTGAGAAACATATTATGTAATTATGGGAGGTATTCAAGTTCATGGAAAAACAATAACAAGAAACTGGTAGACAAGTCAAGTGTTGGAACATTTTTCAGAAAAGTTGGAGCTTTAAAAGCCAGTTTGCATGGTACTTGCTTATGGTAATCAATCAATGTTAACATATTTTCTAATCCAAAAAATGAAACAATCCATGCAATATACAAGGCACATACTGAAGAAAAAGAACCCCAAGAGAGGAATATAGGATACAACAGCAAGGCAAGAGTTGATTAGCAAAAACAAATTCCTCCACGATAACGGGTAAAAGACATTCAGAAGCATTGTATTCACTTCTCCAGGAAAATTTGTAAAATAGCCTGGTAAATGGTAATTTGATATTTTCTCTAAATCCCTCCCACTTCAAAACAATGTATATATATATATATACGTTGCTTTTCCTTTCTTTCATTCAACTAGCAATAAAATATTGATTATGAATATTTCACTTCTAAAATTTTCTTTTCAAATTTCTCATTTCATCTCTTTCCTTTTCTTTTCCCGCCTAAACTCCTGAATGAGCCCTGACAACAAAAAATAAGCAACAAAACAATATCTTCACAATATTATAGGAAGCAAACTAGCTGCACCTGATCCAATAAAATAAATCCCTTGGGTTATGGAATTAATGATCATCTATGTCTATGTTTGCTATGCTTTGACTAAATTGGTTAATAGACAGTAAATAATCTTATCTTATGAGGTATAGTAAACACAACCTAAATACGGCCACCATATCTCAACAGGAAGTTTACACAAATAGTCAAATAGCATGAAGAGCTTGAAGAAAAATTATAAAGAAACAAAACCAGTTAAGCAGACCCTCTGTACAGCAAACAATATAGTGTTTCACGTACATGCAAAATATAAATATAAAGAAACAGACAAGTTCAAAATTCATGTATTATCAAGATGAAATCTAAAATCAAGAAGTTGGTTTCATTGTGTTTTCTACACCTTTTTTCACTATTCATCTACAGGCAAAACATAAACATAAAGAAACAGACAAGTTCAAAACTTGTGTATTATCTAGATGAAATCCAAAATCAAGTAGTTTGTTTCATTGTGTTTTCTAAACCTTTTTTCACTATTCATCTACAGTAGCCTACCTCTTTCCCTCCCAAAAACATTGCATCATACGCCTATTTCTAATTTAAAATATTACATACAGAATTCATTTTCAATTTAAAACATCACATTGATTTCTTATTTACAAGACATCAAACAATTATTTCAATTTAAAAAATTTTAATATAACCAAAACGCCAAAACACAACCAAAGAAACCATAGAACTGCTTATTTTGCTTCCATAAATAGAGGTAATAGAATGGAACAGATTATAATGGAGATTCATAGTTATACAGGCATGCAGATAGTAGAGCTATAGAGTTGACAGGTTTATAATTCAATCATTCAATATAATAGAACTATAGAATGCAACAAAGTGACAAACTAAAATGCATATTCGTATAGGGAATAACTTAAGTAACATGCAAATGAAGCATGTACTAGCTACTTAAGAATGTCCTAAATAAAAGTATTAATAAAAACACAGTGAGAACTTATCAACATATTAGAAGATGATTATCAAATTGGAAAAGACATATAGTGAAGAACTTACTTAACCATGCAAACGAATCATGAATGGCTAGCTAATTGAGATTTGAGAATGTCAAAAATATACATATATACATACATATATATATGAATGAAAACACAGATAACTTATCAACTAATTGGAAGATAAATCATCAAATGGGAATATCCAACATATAAATAAGATTTTGCTATTTTGAAAGTCCAAACAAGAAAGAGAAGTTCCTGAAACAATGACATAGAGAAATCAGAACTCACATTTGTTGTGTCCCAAAAAAATAGACAACCACTTTCTTCAGATCAGCAGGGTAACCCCATTTTTGCGGCTCACTCACCTGCAACAGGAATATAGAAGAATACTTTTTTAGCACCAAACTTACTGCAGTAACATATTCATAATAGAAAGTATATAAAACTACAATTTACAAATACAACCAACTGAATCAGCAGTATATGTTCATTGTGTCAAAATCAGGCATTTTTTAAAAAAAAAAGTCGATTTGCAGAAGTTTTACACTTGAATGCCCTCATAAGGAAACTAACTTTACCTTTTGAAACATTAGATTTCACTGAACAATAAACAAGGGCTTCACTATGTGGAAAATGGAGCATTTGCAATATTGAATATGACAAGTTGACGACTCCACGCACATAGTTATAAACCTACCCGAAAACAAATACATACATCCATGTATGGCACAGACAGCGAAGGCTGAAATATCTATAGCCCGAGTTTGCTTCCAGAGAAGGTAACATATATTAATACATACATAATATGGCTACTAACTAAAACACCATGGCAAGATATGATGTCCTTTTTGGTGAATATAGCCATTTATCTATTCTAAAATAGTTACCTCTAAAGTAACACCTTTCTGAAAATTCAGGAGGATTCATAAACAGAGAGCAAACATTATACTACAATGTATAAATTTAATCAACCACTCTGAGAATGCCCATCAATTGTATCACAAATATAAAACGATATCGTTTCCCTACTCAATAATCAGGTCCCACTACAAAAAATAAATAAATAAGATTCAAAGACAATTTTCAGAAGTGGCAAGTACGCTTTTTCAGTTTCCTGTTCATCCTTAACATCATCTTACAAACTACAAACCCAAACAAATATAGCCTTTTATCTATTCTAATATGGTTACCTCCAAAGTAACACCTTTCTGCAGATTCAGGAGGATTCATAAACAGAAAGCAAACATCCTACAAGAATCATGGCAATCTACTTACAAAATCAATAAACAACCATGTATAACCTTTATCAAGCACTCTAAGAATGCCCATCAATTCATTTCAAATATAAATCGATATCCTTTCCTTACTCAGTAATCAGGTTGCAATCCAACTACACAAAAATAAATAAATATGATCCAAAGACAATTTTCTGAAGTGACTAGCACCCTTTTTCAGTTTCCTATTCATCCTTAACATCATCTCACAAACTACAAACCAAAAAAAGTTCAAAACTACAGTTTCCACACCAGATCTACAAACAAGATACTGAAAAACAGAACTCCCAGTACAGGACAAGAATTCTAAGAACAATAAAAAGGGCAACCACGGACCACAGTAGAATAAGATCAACTTAGGGCAGAAATAAGCATTAAAACAAAATTGAGGTATACCGTCGCAGGCCACGCCGGAAATCCTTTGACTTTGGCAAGAACAAGATCGCCGACGTTCCATTTTCTCCGCGCGGCCGCCGCTGCAGCCGCCTTGTTGGCGGCTCTTCTCCTACTTGGTGCCATAAAGCTACTCTGCCGGCCAAGGACGGCCTCCCATTGAAAGATCAAACCAAGAGAGAACCCAAAACCCTAATTTCTTACTTCAACTAAGCACAACCAGTCAATCCCCTCACGGAAAAACAGTAATTCTTGAGCACAAGAAAAGTGTTTTTTCTTTTTCTTTTTTTTCTTCTTTTTCCTGTTTTTGGAGCGTGAAACGAAGCGAGCACAAAACCCAAACCCTAAATTGCAGAGAATTGGAGAGGGTGAGGGGTAGACGAAGCCGCGGGTGAGAAAAGTGCCGAAGAATTGGGGAAATGGGTAAATACAAATAATGGTCTGGTCTGGAATGGAGTTGGCTTATTTTTAGGATGGGCGATGCTAATGTGCGCCGGCAGTGCGTAGGATAAGGAACGTGTTAGCGATGGTTTAAGTAGGAGTTTAGTTTTCGGGCTTTTCTATGTGGGCCTTAATTGGGCTTCGTAAATTAATATTGGATTTGTTTTTAATTTTATTTTTATTGGGCCCAATAGAGAGTATCAAGTGAAAATGTATGTGTTTGGTACTTTTTTTATATTGTTTTATTGACTTGTTATTTTGTAAAAACAAATTATATTTTTTTAAAAATTGTATTTCTCACGTCGTATTTTATATTAATGATAATAACTTATAATTTTAATTTATTTATTTTTCATGTGAATAATGATGTTGTTATTTTTAAAATAAAATTTAAAACATTTGATTAATGGATTTTATAAAGTTTAGAATTTTAGAAAATGTTATGGATGATTTAAATATCTTGGTGTTAATGTAAATAGATATTGCATTTAATATTTTGTATAGAAAATAGATTTTAAATATAAAATTTTTTTGAAAGAATTGTAATTTTTAGTGATTTTTTTTCTAAAAAAAATATTACATGCGACAGAACATAATATAAAAAATAAATATTTTATATTGAATGTTAACTTTTGTGATATGATAAAATATATACAGTGAAATGTGAAAAAAAAATATGGACAAACATTTATGATTTGTTCCTTTAACAATCTTTACCCGTTTTTCCTAACACTCTTCAATAAAATTTTATTAATGAAATATTATATCAAATAATTATGCAGATATAAAACATAATAATAATAATAATAATAATAATAATAAATTATGCATAAAACATATATTTTTTTATGCATAAAACATAATTATGCAGATTTTATCATATATTTTTTTTATTATTTATAAAAAAAAATTATATTGTATTAAAAATAATTTAATCAAAAAATCAAACAACTATTTAAAATTAATACTCCATTCGTTCAATTTGAAGGTAAATATTACTTTTGATGCAAAATTTTAAAAATAATAATATTTTAATTGTAATGAGTAGTTAAAAGTAATATAAGGATAAAAAAAAAATTATTTTTAATACAAATAATGATGTGGTGGTAAATATGAATATTTGTAAAAAAAAATAATAGTATTTTTCAAATAATTACACAATTCAAAATAAAAAATATTTATCAGTGAAGGAAGATAAAATTTACTATTTAAAACTAACACTATAGTTATATATTTTTTAAAATACCAAAATTCGAAAAGTAGGACCCACACCGTTGCTGAAGTTATATATATAGGATAGGATTATTCTCCTACTTTTATTACATATTTTAAGAATTGAATGGAAGAACATATAATTAATTAATTAATAAAAATGAAATAGATTGGACTGTTGGTGGAAAGAGTGGTAGGTGTTGGTAGAAATGTTAAAAGAGTTGAATTCATTGGTCCAAATGTTGGAAAGACACCTTTATATATTAGGAAGTTTGTTGGGAATCGTACGCTTGTACTCCGTCCGTCCCAAAAGAGTTGTCTTATTTTTCTATTTTCGTTTGTTTTAAAACAATTATCATGTTTTTTTATTTAGCAATCGTGGTCTTCACTTTATGAAAAATTTATTTATATTTTTCCAAATTATCCCTAGTTATTATTGTAACCTACTTTTTAAAATTCTTAAAAAATTAAAGATATTTTAGTCTTTTACATTCTATTTTATACTCACTTTCAATTAAATATTATTATTCCTTAATTCTCGTGCCAACTCCAACACGTTTCTTCTCGGACAGAAGGAAGTATTATAATAATAAATTTTATTTTTTTAAAAAAATAAAAAATAAAACTTGTAAAAACTATTTTCTGCTTTATTTATTTATTAAAAAAAAAAAAATCTATAAACGCGGATACATTACGGAACTAATTTTAAATTTAAAATTCTAAACTCAAACGCACCACGACACGAATTCAACTTTTTGAATTCCCGATAGAAAGAGATTTTCCTAACAAAAAAGGCTTTTTATTTATTTTTTTATTGTCTAATTACAAATTATATACTTTTTTTAAAAAAAAAGTGTGGATCTTATCCGAAATTATATATACTCTTATTTTATACGTTCCATAATTACGTATCCATTTATTTTTTACACTGGGTTTTAGAAATATTAGTATTATATTGTGATGTAATAGAAATAAAGTAGAAAAGACTAAAATAACCTTATTAGTATTGTGTGATATAAAGGTAATGACATTTGTGTAATATATTGTAAGTTGTAAGGGTATTTGTAATGTTAGGTAGATAGTACAATTACTAAAAATAGAAAATTGATACTTTGTTATGAGACGAAAAAAAATAAAAAAATAGATAATTTATTATAGGATAGGGAGGGAGTACTTATTTACATTAATATTATTATATTAATTTACACATTTATTATAACCAATACATAATTATTAAAATAAATACACAACTACAAAGTTGCTTAAATAAATCGAAGTCTTTTATATCAGTAATCATATGTTTTACATACTCATAAGTCATTTTTAACACTGAACCGCTGACATCCGCTGCAGGGTAAACCACCGTCTCTTGTGCCCCCGACTGATTCTACCATAGACACTTCACTTCATTTTTTTAGTGGACTTTGTGTAGTATTTTGTGATTGTTATGAGAAAACAAAAAAGAAAACAAATAAAGAACATAGAGGTTTTACGTGGTTCGGTGACGATGTGTCAACCTACGTCCACGGGCAGAAACCAGAGAGATTTTATTATATTGATTCAGATATTTACAATTATGTCATCGGACTAAGAACCATAGCTGTATATTTATAAGCATCCCAAAACACCCTAAACCCTAAGTCTATTTGTTATTAATTAGAATAAGCCCAAAAGGAATCCTGCCAATTGAAACAACCATTTCGCTTTGGTTTCAGGTTGGGTAGACCGCTAAATCAAAGTCACGTTTCAACAGTAATGTTTGTGTATTTTTGTTATTTTTTTGTATATTGTGTAATATATTTTTTTAAATATATAATATGTTATTTTATTTTTTTGAAAAATAATGTAAAATATATATTTTTTGAAAAGTGATATAATTTTATTTCGTTAAAAAATAATGTATAATTATATTTTTTTTAAAGTGATAGATAATTTTACCTTTCGAAATTATATATATTTTTAAAAGTAATGTGTAATTATATATGTTTGGGTTATATTGTAAAATAAATTAAAGTTGAGGTTTAATTTATAAATATAAAAAGTGCTATAATATAATACTCCTTCCGTCCACAAATTAATGTTCTACTTTTCGATTTAGGACGTCCAACAACTATTGTCCTATTTCCTTTTTTAAACACAAATTTTACATTTTTACCATCTATTTATTTATTACTTTTAATCTCTATCATACAATTAATGACAAATTTGTCAATTAATAACAAAAAAACAATCACCTAAAAAACCGTATAAATACAATTTAGGACAATAGAAATTGGACGGAGGGAGTATAAAAGAGAAATATATAGAGAATATATTTTTTAGAGTGAAAATTGAAGTTTATGGTTAAAGTAAAATTAGTGTGGATAACTGCATTTTTACTGTAGCTACTGCAAAAATAAAGTAACGAGTTGAAGATGATCTTACCCGTTGTATTTTATAAAACTCCTAAAAATACTATAAATTCTTGCAAACCTTCAACCTCGTTTACATCAATCAAATGATCAAATCATGTCTTGATTATTTTATGATCAATTTGTAGGTTTTTCAAGAATATTTCATAAGCTAGAGAGATCTTATAATTGTTTAAGTCAAGATTGTCTATCATTTCCCCAATATATGATTGCAAATATTGAATTTAGAGTGATATACAGAGAAGAGACGAGAACTACATAGGAGTTAGGGACAGTTGATCTCAACCCCTAAAATATAGAATTTTTTTTTAGTGTAATAAATAATAAAATTATTATTATTATTTTTTTTTATTATTTCCCCCATATTTTTCATTTTTTTTTTATGTTATAGTGTAAAAAATAATAAAATTTTTGTAATTTTGTTGATTTATACTTTTAGATTTTATTTTTTATTTTTAATAGAAATTATTGAATTTTATTAAATTTCTTAAATATTTCTCTAAAAAAAAAATTAATTTTTAGCTAATTTTCTTCTTCTTATTAATTCGATTGCATTGAGAGAAATCGAAAAAAAAGACAATATTAAATAAAAAAAAAATGAACTGTTATTTTGTTGATGATGGGCGTATCAAGTTATAAATGTTATATTACTGTAATTGTTATGCTATTTTCATTTTTTATGCCTATCAATTTTTATGTTACCGAATTTTTTTTCTTTTAAGTTTTTGGAAAAATATATGTCAACAAGCATCTACTATGCATTGATATCAAAATTATTTAATTTGGCTTGAATTTAAGTGTTTGTTTGGAGGATTGGATTTTAAATATAATATTCATCCTATTTTTTTATCCCAAAATATCAAATCAAATATCTATTTTTTCACTTTTTATATTATACTAAAAATCAATTTTACATTCAAAACATCACATCAACACCTATTTATACCACATCGTACCATTATTCAAATTCAAAATTTTTACTATTCAAATCTCAATTCAAAATCCAAACCCCCAAACAAACACACTTTAAAAATATGTTCAAATTTTTAACACGGGCACATACTTTTAGTTATTTTATATTATAAAAATAATATAAAAAACAGTACTATAACTTTTTACTTAAAAAAATAATATTAAGTGATAAATAAAACAAATGAGCACGAGTTTAATGACAAGGAAAGAAAAAAGTATTTATATTACTCCCGCGTCCCATGTAATATAACCATATTAGCGTGGATATAAAATTTTAGATAAAATATAATTTGTAAGTAGCTAAGAAATATATTAATAAAAATAATTATTATATCATAAAAATAATTATATATTAAAATTAAATAATTAAATAATACTCCTTCTGCTCTCGCGACAGATGACTTTTTTTTTTTTTTTGTCTGTCCCATTAAAGATGATTCATTTCTATTTTTTTTTAGTAAATTATTCATCTTAAACATATTTAATAAATATAAATTAATTTAATTAAATTTCTAACCTCTTACACATAGGACCATTCAAAACTCATTTATTTATATATCTCTCATTAATAAATAAATATTTTTATCTATATTTAAAACTTCTTATTTTTAATAAAATTAGTTTTAATTTAATTATAAATAAATAAATTATTATTTTTATTTATTTGTATTATATAAAATTTTATTCTCTACAAAATGATATCCATATTGTATATATTTTATTGATATATGATGTTAAAAATATTTAAAATGCCAACAACGCTACTCATATAAAAATAATAAAATAATATCATAACTTATTATTAATAACTTACTTATCTACACTATCTAAAATACCGATTATATAGAATGAACAGGAAAAAAAATAAATATTATGGGTGTGTTTGTTTATGGGTATGGGGTTTTGGATTTGGATTTATGAATAGTAAAAAGTTGAATTTGAATAGTTATTTGATGTGATATAAATAAATATTGATGTAATATTTTGAATGTAAAATAAATTTGCAGCAGAATATAAAAAAAGAAAAATAATCGTTTGATTTGATATTTTTGGGGGAAAAAAAAATCTAAACAGTAAAAACTTGTGTTAAAACCCACACAAGAACAATTTTTATGCAACCGAGCTAGTAAATGTTGGTTATTTTTTTGTTATTGGATTTATTCGAAAATAAAAAATGTCGTATCGAGCTATTTTTCGGGAAGGATGTCGTGGGGTACGCGCTCGATAATGCCTATACGGTATTGAATTAAGTGTTTAATAATTACATGAATTTGTATAAGGATGGATGGTTTAGTCATGTCCATGACTAAAAGAGGGTTATATACTAAAATAAAGTATTTTTTAAATATTGTAATATATTTTAAAAATTATTATTTTCAAAGGAGTTAAATTAAATTAATTCCCGAATAAAACTGTCCAAATTCAGAGTAAATTAAATATTTGAATGGAAGAGATTTAATGAAATTTAAGTTACAAATTTTCAATTGACAGAGATTTAAATATGAAATGTGCATTTTTATTTGAATAAACACTTCAATGTTTATTAAATAAAACTTATCTTCTCAAATTTGGAAAAAAAAAAATGTGGTAACACTGAATAATTCTGTAACTTAATCTACATAGATAAATAATCTCCAAACTTTTTACTTGCTCGATTTTTTGTTTAAAATTCGAGTGTTGCTTTGTTTTATCCTTCTATGAATTTTGTGTAACCCGGAGCGTCAATAGAGTCAAAATATCCTATAAAAAAAGCAAATTTACGCGACTCAAAATATATCCAGATTATTTATACAACAATAAAATATATATAAATGAAATTGAAATAAAACCTAACATAAGCATTAAGGATTTGACAAAAACAAATAAACAATCCGAATTTGGTCGTTACACGCGGCGTCCACAGGGAAGGCCCACGTGTAGGGTATCCCCAAAAGCACACACGCCACGTGTTCTCAGATGTCCTAAAATTTACCTGAATGCCATTTGTTGCCGTACGATTGATCCATGTTTACCAATCATTTCACGCGACGTGGACCAATCAGAACCCGGCATGTTTCTTCCTAAACTGTTCCCTTTCCCCCAGCACGTGCCGCTATATATACCCACGGCTCGCCGGCACGGCGGCTCCGGGCTGCGTCGTTCACCGGAAAATTCTATTCTATTATATATAATTTATATATCCAATGAGTTTGGGAGCCGGGTCGAGTTCAACTCGGTCGGCGAGACTCACCGAGTCAGCCGAACCGGGAATACACAACGAGAAGATTCTACTTCTGGTTTTCGAGTCAATGAAATGGGACATCCGTACGGTCTGCCGGACCGCCTCCGTGGACAGGCGGCTCCGGGCGGTGGCGAAGCGCCTTCTCTGGCGGGAGCTCTGCATCTACCGCGCCAGGAGGATGATGTCGGCGGTGGCGGAAGGCGGCCGGGTGATCGGCGGCTGGCCGGCGATGGCGAAACTGTTATTCTTCTGCGGCGGGTGCGAGTCGCCAGTCCGGCATTTCGATCCACGCCGACCGGAGCCGGGTCACTTCGTCGAGTCGAGCCGGTTTTCTAAGACGTCCGGTTTGAGTTTTCTGAGGAAAGACTGCCGGGAGGATGTGCTGTACGTGACGGACCCGTGCGAGCACCGGTCGGGGGGCGGCGGCGGCGGGGAGGGGGAGGACGTCGGAATATACCGAGGGGTATTTAGGTCATTTCAGAGGTCGAGGACGCGGGAATGTTTGGTAAGGAGACAGGTGGAGTTCGAGGACGGGATCCGCTGTCCGTACTGCGGGACCCGCGTGTGGAGCATGACGGCGGCGCGGATGATACCACGAAAGAGCGCGGCGCGGCGGCTCGGCTCGAGGGACGGCGCCGGCGGGTTGGAGTATTTTGTGTGTCTTAACGGTCATCTACATGGGATGTGCTGGCTGGTGAGTTTATCGTCGTCGGATGATGATGACGGTATCAGCGATGGTGATGGACGGTCCAGATTTACCGGGAGCAGTAGCAGCAGCAGCGGTTAAAGTTGAAGTTTAGTTAGTTACTGCATCTGTCTGTATACGAATATTTGTCTTTTATTTTTATTTTTAATTTTATTTTTTTGGTGATGGATTGGGGAATCTGGAGGACACTTTTTATTTGCTTTGCATGTCCTTCATGCACCAGCAATTCATTTATGTGCTTAAGTTTTGTTTGTTTGAGTTTTGTCCCTTGTATTTCGACTTTATTCGGTTTTCTATGAAATGGATCGCAGGCTTTGTTTGTTTGTATTTTGCTTTTTGTTATTTCCCTTTTTCGTTTCTTTTCAATATATCAATATTTAACTATTATTTAAATCAATAATTAAAATGTATTCAAATATAATTTGAAAATTTTACTATAAAATAAAATTTAAATTTTGTTAGCTAGGATTGGGAAACATGCCGAATTCTGATTTATTTTTGAATGAATTAGATGTAGGACTTTATAAGGTTATGAGTTCTTTGATGAAATTTGAATTTGCACCCCCAACAAATTTAATAAAAAAAATTTAATGCTCCGTTTACATAGATGCTTCGGAAGTTTTTATGAAAAAATAAAAAATAAAAATTGATGTAATATATTTATTTATTTTTAAAAAAATATTGATAAATAATATCAAAATTTTAAAAAATGTCTATAAACAAAACATTCATAACCAAATGTCATTCTAAATGAAAACATCCAAAAATCATTTTTAACTAAAAAAAAGAATTAGAATTCTAAAAAGTCACACATATAAAACAAAATTAATGTAATAAGTAGCACTATCCTAACTTTAACTTCGGCTCTGCCATATGTGGTGCCATTATTTTTTAATTAGGCATGCAGGCCAAGGCCAATAATAATGAAATAAAAAAATTCTATTCAATGGCGCATTGACATGCAGACTAGAATTAGAATCCAGGGGCATTTTTGTCATTCCACAATCCATTCGTTACCCCCAACCAAATGACAGACATCCTATCGCCTTGCTCCCTCCGCCATAACATAAATAATTAGAAAAATAATTAAAAAGTGTATTAATAAAAATAATTATAAATTAATATTAAAATAATTAAATAATTTAATTAAAATTTAAAATATTATTCCCTCCGTTCCAAACACTTTGCAACATTTTTTTTTGTTTGTCCTAGACTCACTCCAATATTTCTAAATTTAGAAATAATTAATAATATTTATATATATATTAATATATACTTCACTTTATCTCATCTCATTACGTCGCTCAAATAAAAAAATAAATAATCATTTCTCTCTCCAATCACATTACTTAATATACAAATTATCTCAAATTACCATACTTAATATTCCCCACCTAAATTCTCGTGCCAAACACAAATATTGCACGGTATTTGGAACAGAGGGAATATAAAATATAAAATTTAAAATATGATTAAACTGTATAATATTTGTTCAGAAGGTCAACTATTTTGAAACTTTTCCAAAACTCCAAAAATATTCAAAAACTTCTATCTAAAACAAGCCTAGGATGTGTTTGTTTTTAAATTTCAAATAAAAGAATTTCACAATTTCTAATAAAAATACTATTTAAATTAAAACTTAAATCTCTTGTAAATTATTCATTATATTAAATAATTTCCCAATAAATCTAAAAGAGCATCATAGCACATTCCACTAACAAGAATATATCTAAAACAACAAAGTGCTGTATTACAGCTTAGCTTAGCATAGTCTTCTTTTTTCCTAATATCTCCTCCTTCATTCATTCCTCAATTACCACAGTTTTGTCTCAAAAGGGTTATTATATATAATTCTAATGAATGGTTTTTTCGATGATCCTAAGGTCAATGATTTTATTTATTTATTTATTTTTACTAAAGATTCTCTACTTTATAATCGAAAACATGCTTCATGTGGAATAAAAGCTCTATACTAGATTAGATCTTCGATCATTTTTATGTTCATTCTTTTCTAAACTAAATGCAGGCAAGTTTGTAGGCATAATTCTGCAGGTAATTTAAAAAAACCATGGCTAGTGAAGAAGACATTACCGCGTCGGCCGTGATCAATCTTGTGTCGGCGGTGGCGTTTCTGATGGCCTTTGCGTTCCTGCGCCTCCAGCCGATCAACGACAGAGTCTACTTTCCGAAATGGTACAAAAAGGGCGTGCGAGCGAGCCCCAAGAGTTCCGGGCCGTTGGTCAGCAAGTTCATCAACTTAGACGCCAAAACGTATTTGAAGTTCTGGACTTGGATGCCCGCCGCGCTGCGAATGCCGGAGCCCGAGTTGATACAGCACGCCGGGCTCGATTCTGCTGTCTATATTAGGATTTACCTTCTCGGGTAAGAGAGACTGTTCAATAATGACAATATTGATATCTATTGCAGAAAAATTTAGAACTGTTAAACGAACCGAACAAGTTTGAGTATCTGTTGTTCGAACTCAACTCGAACATGCCATTGGTATAGGCTTGACTCAGCTTGTTTAAGATTCAAGCTAAAATGGTGTCTTCAGCTTGGCTCATTAGTCATTAAGCTCGATTTCAAGCTCAGGCTCAAGCTCGAACTCGAGTTCGACTCAAATTTCATGCATACTATATATATATATATATATATATTTAATATATAAATTAAATAAATATAATTTTATTCCCAATTTATTATTATAATAAAATATTTAAATTTTATTAATAAATACTTTCTCCATTCATAAACTAACGTTCTATCTTCTTATTTGAAATACCCAACAACTATTGTCCTATCTCAAATTTTAAACACAAATTTTACTTGTTTATTCTTTATTCATTTACCATTTTTAATCTCTACCTTACCATAAAAGGTAAATTTGTCAATTTATTACAAAAAACAATTACCGAAAAATCCGTGCAAATATACTTTAAAATTATAAAAATTGGACAGAGAGAGTATAAGTTTTGATTTAAATTTTTTAATAATATATAAAATAATACAAATATGTCATTATTAACGAGTTCAATCGAGCTACCAACGCTTGGCTCGTTTATAGAAATAACAAATTCCCAAGCTCGTGGTCAGCTTGTTTATCTCTATATAAACAAGTCGAGTCAAGGTGCTGACGAGCCAAATCGAGCTTGGCTCAAAAGCTACTCGATTTATTTAATAGTTTTAGCAGTAATGTGAAGTAATTTCATTTTCGAATATAGGCTGAAAATCTTCGTACCTATTGCACTTCTTGCTTTCGGGGTATTGGTTCCCGTTAACTGGACAGGGAAAGCGCTGGCGAATGACAAAGATATAACATACAGTGATGTCGACAAGCTTTCCATATCCAATGTTCCTCCGGGATCTTTAAGGTGAGGTCACATATGGCGGCCATGAATGCTTCTCTTTTAGTGCTTTTGTGTGTTTCTCTAATGCCCATTTCCTTTCAGATTCGTTGCGCACATCGGAATGGCGTATATATTCACATTTTGGACGTTCTACGTCCTTTACAAAGAGTACCAGATTGTAACCAACAAGAGGCTCCAATTCCTAGCTGCAGAGGAACGTCGCCCTGATCAGTTCACAGTAAGTTCATTTAAATACTATTCATCAACGTCAATTCATCAATTTTTTTAAAAAACATTACATCAAATAACTATTTTTCTCTTCCAAAACATTGCATCAAATCGTAACTTTTTTACAATATTATAAAAATTCGAAACTTTAGAAGTAGACGAAGTCTAAAATTTATATTTAGTGCACATTTCCAAATCTCCATAATAGTATTACCTTGCAACTGATCTTTTCAAGATTCATTTTTCAGGTTCTTGTGAGAAATGTTCCACACGATCCGGATGAATCCGTCAGCGAGCACGTTGAACATTTCTTTCTTGTGAATCATCCCGATCATTATCTTTCACATCAGGTGTGAATCGTTGCACAGTATCTTCAAGTTAATCTGAGTGAAGTTGTATGATTCTCTGTAAAGTTCATCAATCAAAGAACTGCAGGTTGTGTATAATGCAAATAAACTTGCTAAATTGGTGGAGGAGAAGAAGAGCTTACTGAATTGGCGAACTTACTATCAAACTCGACACGAGAGGAATCCAAAGAAGAGACTTAGAACCAAGGTTCGATTTTCTTACCCCAAAAACTTTCGATCTTCTATAGCCTGAGAGTAAACTTTCGACTCGTATTTACAGACAGGTTTTATGGGCATGTGGGGAAAGTCTGTCGATGCCATTGATCACTACACATCAGAAATTGAGAAGATAAGTGAGCGAGTAAGGTGCTACTTAAGAATCATGTCAAGCATCCATATGATTTTTGATTCATATCATACCTTGATGAGTTTCGTCTTTGTAATTACTGTCTTTCCACCGAATGTAGGAAGCTGCAGAGAGGGAGAAGGTAATGAGTGATCCGAAGAACATAGTTCCAGCTGCATTTGTTTCATTCAAGTCACGTTGGGGAGCAGCCGTATGTGCTCAAACTCAACAAACAAGAAATCCAACTATTTGGCTGACGGAATGGGCGCCTGAGCCACGAGACATCTACTGGAACAATCTTGCAGTACCATATTTCGAGCTAGCTGTCAAGAAACTCCTTGTGGCTGTTTCGTTGTTCTTCCTCACATTCTTTTTCATGATCCCCATTGCAATCGTTCAGTCTGTGGCAAGTATTGATGGCATTGAAAAGGTCCTTCCATTTCTCAAACCGTTGATTGAAGCGTACGTAAGCTTGTTACTTTAAAGTGAGGTCTGTCTCTTCTCTTCAGCAATTTTCATGATTGGGTTCTCTTCTTAATTCTTCAGGGGGAAGATAAAGTCCATTGTTCAAGGCTTTCTTCCCGGCATTGCACTGAAGTTATTCTTGATCATTCTTCCAACGATCCTGATGACAATGTCCAAAATCGAAGGGCATGCGTCGTTTTCATCTCTGGACAGACGATCAGCTGCAAAATATCATCTTTTTGTACTTGTAAATGTCTTTGGCGGAAGTATCGTCACAGGGGCAGCATTCGAACAGCTCCATAAGTTTATCAACCAGGCCCCATCAAAGTGAGTTGCTTTTCAGTTCTTCCCTGCAACAATCAAATGCCTATATACGTCATTATCGACTCAAATAATCACACATATAGTCTTGCTGCACAGAACTAGAAACTTCCGTCTGAATAATTAAAAAAATTGATGGTATCCATGTGTTTGCTACCTTGCAGGATCCCAGAAACATTGGGTGTTGCCATTCCAATGAAAGCCACTTTCTTCATTACCTACATTATGGTCGATGGCTGGGCTGGGGTAGCTGCAGAAATTATCAGATTGGTTCCTTTAATCATTTTCCATCTGAAGAACACATTTCTGGTCAAGACAGAACAGGACAGGGACCAGGCAATGGATCCTGGCTATATAAACTTCGCCTCCTACGAACCTCGCATACAGCTGTACTTTCTACTGGGGCTCGTGTACTCAGCCATCACACCATTTATATTACCTTTCATCATTGTCTTCTTTGCTTTTGCTTATGTGGTTTTCCGGCACCAGGTCAGGTTTACCTTCCACAGGTCTCCATTAACTATACTTTAAGATGACAAAATCAATACTCAAGTGTGTGCATTTGCTTTTCGAAATCCAACAGATCATCAATGTTTACGAACAGAAGTATGAGAGTGCAGCTGCATTTTGGCCAGATGTTCATTTTCGTGTAATCATCAGCCTAATAATCTCACAAATACTTCTGCTGGGACTGCTGAGCACAAAGGATGCTGCACAATCAACTCCATTGATGCTCGTACTTCCTATCCTGACCATCTGGTTTCATCGATTCTGTAAAGGACGGTTTGAGTCCGCATTTGTTAAGTTCCCCCTGCAGGTTAGTCCAGGCTATTTTACTGAAAAGTTCTCAGAACTATATTTATCTTTAATTAGACAATATTCAAGTACAACTAATCAAACTAGCTTAGGAACTTATAACTATTTCCGATGAAACAGGATGCAACAGTGAAGGATATATTAGAAAGAGTTACGCAGCCAAACCTGAACTTACAAGCTTACCTACATGATGCTTATGTACATCCGGTGTTCAAATCAGCTGAGATTGAAGGGGAAACAGCACCGGACAAAGAGGAGAATAGTCCACTTGTTCCTACAAAGAGAACTTCACAGCAGAGCAGATTCACTGCAGAAACTGTATCAGACGAAACAGCAGGACAGCCATGAGTATTTCCACATACCTGGCAGCATTCCTTCCTACGCCGTGCTTCTGGATATAACACTGTAAATGCACAAATATTGATTTATTCAAGTTTATTACAACAAGATTGATCAAATAAAAGTTTAATTTGAACCTCACTAACAACTGTCATGGTGAATCCTTTCATATGACAAAGTTAAGGCGTGAACAGTAGAGAATGTACAGGTGCTAATTAATCGTGCGTATGTATGTATACATAAGTAAACATGTCTTCTGGATAATATAATAAACCAAGGTATTGTTGACGAAACACTGAAGCACTGTGTAGTACAGTTGGATATTCACTACTCTTGGGCTACCATGTCAAATTAATGGCCAAATCCAATAGTGCTTCTACTTGGCGAATGGCACGCTGTTTCTCCTGCTGTTTTAATCTACTAGCAACTGATTCTGGATCAAGGGCTTGCTTTGAAGCCGCCTCTTGTTCAGATCGGACCTCTTGCAGCAGTGCATCGACTTCCCTTACAAAATCTACTCTTAGAAGAACATCATCAGTCTCAACGGGTGGTCTCATTGGTCCTTGATGCTAGGACAAACAAGCAAACAAAACAATTTCGTCAGCAGATTGATGCACTTGCAAAGCACAGTCATGTTTAGAAGTTAATGTGGACACAACCCATACATTAATTTATTATTATGTCATGTAATTAGATTTATGAACTCAAATGGACTGTGAGGAATTTACCTTATCAATGTCGAATCCAGCAGGTACTAGAATACTGAATGGATCCTCTCTGGGAAATTTTTGAATCATACGCTTCTTACATACCTTGAGCCAACCCTCTTCATCAAACCCATCATGCATATTTAATAGTTCATTAAGTAAGCTCATTGCTGGGGTCGCCTCCCGTTTCAAAATCTCAGTCTGAACATAGAGATGATTCATACATATCAAAGCAAGGATTTAAGCCCGTAAAGGAGGACAGCGAGTAGGAAAACTCAAAAATAATAAGATAAAATACAACGGTAAGAAAAGGGCAATTATAATTACAATGAAGAAATCTAACAAACAGTATTCAGAAATAAAATACCTCAACCCTCCTGTACAAAAGATCAAGGCTTCTAATGACATCCTTTTCTTCCTGAAACAAGCATTCAAATGTCTAAAGTTACACTATCGAAATTACAACAAATTATGAGAGAAATAGGTTTTTTCCAAGGCTCACAGGGCACCTCCTAATAGCGGTTTTAATACTTTCTTGAACAAAGGCATGATGTAATGAAACAATTTGTTATGCAATTTCCCCCATATTTATATTTATATACAAATCATCTAAATAAATAAGGCAAGCATCCTATAAACCTTTCTTAAATAAGATAACTACAATAAATATAATATATTGCTTCTAAATATATTTTAACACCCCTCCTCAAATTCAAGATATGATCAAACAAACTTGATTTTGCCAGAAGTGACCAAAAAAGATATAGCCGAGATCTTCCACATACGAATTTGAATTCACTAAGATTGACTGAAAATGGTGTATCCGTCCACTGGATCAGAGTCAGAAGTAGAAGTCTCAACACGTTGGAAACATGACTCACTTGCTCTCAACGGAACTAAAGTCGAAAACATGACTCGCTCACTCTATAGAACTCGAGTCGGAAACAGGACTCGCTTGCTCACAACAGAGCTAGAGTCATAAACAAGACTCCCCACTCTCAATAGAGTTAGAGTTAAAAACAGGACTCTCAACGGCATTAGAGTCAAAAGTAGACTATATCAGTGGAGTACTAAAGACAGAGATGACATGGAAATAACAGCATGACCGAGCATGACTGTGAATAGAAGCGGATACATCAATAAAATATTAAAATATATATGAGATATAACGGGTCATGGATGTACCCAGAAAGAATTTGGCTCTAATAGCATGTTAGAATATAAAACTGAAATTCTTTATTTCAATCATAAGAATACGAACATATTTATAGTGATGTACAAATCATATAAATAAGACAAAGATCCTATAAACCTCTTAAATAAGAAAACTACCATAAATATAATATATTGCTTTTAAATATATTTTAACAATAATGTCTATCTCCAGTTTTACATTTATTCAATATTCATTCCATCCAATTCAATTGTGCACGTAATATATACTATGAAGTCTTATTTCATTTATAAGCATGACTAAAATTGCAAGGTTGAGATATCAAGGATGCTGATATAATATACAAAAGTAAATAAAGTTAGATTATTAGTATCATATCAAATTACTAGTTTCTACCGTTCAATAATTACCAAGCTTAACACATGAATTAAAACTAAGACCTCACATCCAGCATCCTACACATCTCATTTCGGTTGCATTTCATTTCCAATCATGCAAGTTCTGCAACCTTGACAAGGCAAGGAAATTCTCAAATGGCATTTTATAAGATTATAATCACACCCGATCAACGGAGTATGAATTAATTTCTGGAATAAGAATGAGAACAAAAGCATGCCCAGATCACCCACCCACCATATCCCTCCATCAAAACAGTACTATCAATAATTTCAAGACTCATCACAGGAACTGTAAAATAACTCACATCTCGGCGAGCGAGATCAAGGCGATTCCATATCACCAACAGCACTAGTTCATTCAGTTCACCTTTCTCAGCAGCTTCTTCAATTCTCTGTGGATAAAGGTGGGGATAACAATTATTATTACAATTACTGATTGTTCATTGCAGGGTTGGGCATCCAGTGAAGTGCCAAAAATTTATCTTCTTTCACCTCCAGCTTTAATCATGGCTAAAATAACTTTCAAGGATTATGGTTTCTGGTCTTCATTTTAATGCAGTTATAATACCTCTTCGATCTCTTCGGCTGCTCTTATAAAGCTAGTAACTAACTTCTTAGCTTTTCGAAGCTCTTCATCTGGATAAGCCTTCAGCCTCATTCCAATTTCACGGTATTCGTCAACCTTCCTTTCCTCTTCCTCTTCCTCCTCTTTTTGCTTCCTACGGAGCTCCTTTGTCTTTTCCCTCTGCTTAGCTTGCCATTCCTAACATCAAAATGGCTAATACTGTCAACTGTTATTTTCTGATTCCACATATCTAAGAAAAAAAATGGAGGAGTGTACTTGTTTTCAATATACTGACGCCATGAACATTGTCTACTCAACACATTCTTCAACAAAATAACTTCACAGCGCATAATTAATTGAAACATAAACCAGGAAATCGCTGGAAGGAAAAAATTAAATAAATAAAGTATCCGAGCAAATCTAGCGAAGGCGACGTACATCGTCGTAGTACTCTTTCGGAAGTCCATACAAGTCTTTATCCTCAATCTTCTTGCTTCTACAAGAAGCTGGTGAGTGCAACGCCAACAACCACATCAACCTTCAATTTTGAGCAAAAGAAAACCTCAAAGTTTTTATAGAAAGAGTTGAGATGCTTACTTCTGATAGAACGCTTTGCTCGAAAAGCTCTGGATTTATTAAATGCAGCGACGGAAGGAGAATTCACCGGCGGCGGAAGTGAGGCGCACGTTAGCAGGTGGAGATGGAGCGCCACTTGCACCTCCATCCTTTCTCCCCTCCTCCTTCTCTGGGTTTTGCCGCAAAACCCCTGCAAACCACTAAAAAATAAATAAAATAAAATATATTTTACTTTTATAATCATAATTTACCTAAACATATATCCAAACAATAATAAAAACATTTTCCACATTATCAATTTTGAAAAATATCTCATTAAATATATTTTTTATAATTTATTATTTTTTTATTATTTTTTTAATCTCAAATTCCAAAATAATTATATAAAAAAAAAATACTTATCTAAAAATTTTAAAATAATAACATATAATGTTATACAAGACTACTTGATTAAACAGGGATTACAACTTTCAAGAGTTTTATACAATGGAGCCTATGTTTTTCTTCCATTAGACTGGCCCAATTATTATCGGCAAATGATCAAATAGATCCAAATCTATTCAGCTCAAGCAAACCTGTCCATATTCGATAGGCCCAATTATCCGGCCCACATAGGCCCATTTTCAGTTGATCCAGATTTGATAGGCCCATTAAAAAACACAATTAGTGATACCCAAATCGTACAGGCCCATGTACGACACTGTTGGCCCAAATTAGACAGGCTCATTTGTTGTCGGCCCATATCAGACAGGCTCATTTAATGTCGGTCCATATCGGATCGGACTAAATTCTACTGGTCCATATCAGATAGGCCCAAATACCATCAGCCCATATAGAACAGGCTAAATTAAATGTCGGCCCATGCGATTTTGGCACATTTCTTGCCGGCCGAGACCAACAGCTAACTTCCAACTGCCTGATATGTTGTCGGCCTAATGGCCCACGTGAATTTCTAATTGGTGCATTTAATTTATTTTTGTATTTTGTATTTTTATTCATAATAGTTTGGATCCGGCAAAGAGTTTTGAATTTTTTTTTTCAAAAAAAAAAAAATTAATAATGATAAAAATTAGTACTTTATATAATTTTTTGTTAGAAAAGAAAATATCTACACAACGTGATAAACGTATAATTTATGTTAAGAAATACCAAGAAACAACACACCCTGTATCACAGAATATCTTTCCGTAGCAAAATTTGTAGGAGATCTAATCTGATTTTCATTTTTCAACATATATTCTCTATTTGTATTAACACACACCATTTCAATAACGTATGATTCTTTCTCCTAAAACCCAAATTCAAATTCAAATTCAAATTTAAATTTAAATTCAAATACCTGCATCAATGATCATTTCAGCAGCAGCTCCCATGGCGCCAATCCCGCTGACTCCAAGAACAGCAAGAGCAAGTTCCTCCTCATTCCATCGCTTCAGCCCTCTGCTAACTCTTTTCACCACCTCCACATTAACCTCCACCATCCACGCCGGCGTGCAGCTCACCATCAAGCTAAAAAACCCAGTCACATAAGCCCGCCAAGTACCCTTATCACACCCCAACGATATCTTCCCGTCCATCGCGCTACCCAGAAACTCCAAATGCTTCCCAAGAAAACCCGGCCGCCGTTTCGACGCCGGCGATTCCGAGTCCAACCCCCACGCGTATATTCCCGAGATCACCGTGAAGTAGGCGAGCGCGTATCCTCCGAGCATCGCCACAATCCCTCCCGACGACGAGGAGGAGGAGCCGTATTTTAAATCCGAGGCGTGGAAGGATATGAACCACGACGGGAGTATTTCTTTGATTAGTGACTGTACCGAAACCAAACCTCCGGTGAGCCAGACGAGCGAAGCGCCTAATGACGCCGCAACCTTGACTCGAGTCATTGAGTCGGAGAGAGAAACCTGGCCGTACTTCATCCTAAACTTTGTCTTGCCGAGTTTCTCCAATTTCTCGACCGGCAGCCCGCAATTCGCAATGTCTTTCACAGTGTCCATAAGAACAGAGACGATTTCTTCAGTTAAAAATACGGCGTTCCGGACCGCTCGATGAATCCTCAAGTATAGGATGCCGGGGGCGACGGCGGAAATGCCACCGGAAAAGTGAGAACCAAAGCCGTGGCCGAGGAGAGGTCCGACCCCGCCGTTGCTAGCGACGGAGGAGGAATTCAAACCGAGGAGCGTCGTAAAGGAGACGCGGATGAGCTGAACTAACGCGTCGTTATTGTGGTGGAACACAGTCTGGGCTGCGGAGAACACAAGAAAGTCGTTCCATCGTTTAGCCTTTTGCGCCCACAGAGCGCCTATTATCGGCATGCACGGCCAGGGGCAACTAATCCCGAGGTTGATCAAAACGGGACCGATCAAGTTTAGATATCGATCGGAGCCTCTGTCGAGTTTGTATGTTATTGTGAGACTGAGAAGAGCTGCCAAGGGTAATGGAAGTACCAATGGAGAATTTCCCCCTGCAAGAAAATCGATTATCAGTGCAGAGGAGTTTAATTTGTATCCTAATTAGTCAATCCGTTGCAAGAAATGGTCACCTGCAGCAAGACACGGGACATTAACACCAGTAGCAGCTAAGATTTTCTTAATCTGCTGTTCAACGCTCGACAAGTTTGCAGCCGGGCTCGGCCAGTCGGTTCCATTCATGTAAGCAGGCTTCCAAAGCCCACGAGTCACCTCAGCTGAAAAGTAACTGACTATAGTTCCCAACGAACCGGGGAGAAAATCGGCAAGATCTTTGAGCCCTAAAACACATTCCAAGCAGTTTAGCTGTTAATATATATTGCGAAGGACAAATAAAATTATGAAAACGATATGCACGAATGTTTGATTATATAGCATAGACAAACCCGTGGTCAGTTCCCGCGGCGACACTTTCCCATGAGCACACGCAGTAAGGGCGGCATCAAGAACAAAGGGAACAGCCTCGAGGATATCCCATGCGGGTATCTTAAGGCCGAGAGAATAATCGTCTATTCCTGATGCAGACGAGCTGCTGCTTCCGGAAGTTGTAGCAGACAAGGTAGGAGTAGGACCTCCTCTGTTGATTTTTCGGAACATCTTATTCAGGAGCGCCTCGACAATATGATGAACAGGATTCCCGGGAACCAGACTAGAAAGAACACAAGCAATACATTCTTGATGCTTCCTGTACCAACGCTTGAGGTTTGGAAAGGAATCCATGAATATAGGATCCCTACAAGAGGGATTTGAATATCTCGATGGCCGGTTGATTCGAAGCTGATTTTTCGGAGGGTTTTCGTGCAGTGCTAAATTGGAGTTGTGCACCAGTAAGAGGTACTCAGGTGTTATATGGGACCCGACTGGAGTCACCTCCCCCATTATATTCTCCAAAGGTGGTTGATTAAATTTCCAGAGCTTCAGCAATAGAGTGAATGCATTTGAAAATACGTCGTGAGAAGAAATTTCGTCTGTTGGACTAACTTTCCACGACATATTCGGCGTGCAGGAACCGAAAACTTCACAAATTGGCATCAGTGCAGCTGCGAGATCAGGAACCTGGAATATATTTAACAAGAGTTAAACGGCAGAAAGTAATGCAAAACTACGGGTAAAAGTCGTATATATAATCTATGGGTTGAGTTTAGAATATGTATTAAATTGATGGTCGAAAGAGAACATGTTTTGTTCAGAGCACTATAAGGCAACAATATGTAAATTATGAAGCAGTGGCAATAGAAGTGAAGCTTGGCCTACCAATCCGTGCAAAGAAAATATTTGTACGCAATCAATTGACGATATTCCGACCAGAAGAATATTCAGAAGTGGAGCATAGCCTATCAAATGGCTCTCACTTCCAGAAAAATCTTTAGGAACAGCTGGTGAAAGCAATCTTGTGATCAAAAGGCTTGTATGTTCCTGTCAACACAGACAAAAAATTATGCCGTATCATTTTTCGATGTAAAGCCATTCAAAAGTGAAACTCGTGTATTATCCCATACAAAACAACTGCCTTCTTTTAGAGTTCCTACCACCTCTAATCTCTACTGGAGGGTGCTAAAGGGAAATTAATAATTCAACAGCCAAATTGAAAAGCAACCAAAATGTTTCGGGCTCTTGAGTAATAATATAAAATACATTTACAGGCACAAACAATAATAAGGATTACCTGTATATTCCAACCACGGCAAAGAGAAGCTCCACAGAATATTGTAGCAGCAGAAACCTTCTCATCATCTGTACCACTGACAGCAATCTCATACAGCCTCTCTATCTCTGCCAAGCTTATGTCAAATCCATAAGCCTAAACTCAGTTGCTTTACCATATGGATATATAGAAAAATCCAGTACAATAGTGCGAAATACTATAAAGAAAAAAGGGGGTCTATTTAGGCTCCTTCCTGTCTACTGGATAACTGCACTAAGTCCCAGCACATGTTTTACACTTGCAACGAAGTTCCCTCAAACAGAAAATGACCGATGACATACATAGAAAGAGAACTAATAGTTCCCCCAATGACATACAAAATAATTTTCTACTTAAACATCACTTCAAAAACCTATTTCAATTTTAATTTTACTATTTCGAAAACAACAAAAAACCCCCAAAACATATCTAAAAAACCCCCCTATTTCTTGAATTACAAATTTCTAGAATAGACCACAATGTATCCCGGTGTTAATAGCCAATGAAAATGTTAAAAAGAAATTAATATTTTAGGATGTTTTATTACATCAACACAAGTTAGAAAACAGATAAATAGCATTAAAAAAGCAACTCTTTTACCTACCAAGTAGCTGGAGTTGACACCAATGCACTGACCATGGGAGGAGTTAAAGGTACCCCTTTCAATAATGATGACCAACCGAGCACTTGGCCAGGAGTGCTTCGAGGAATCTGGCTACAGCGGCCTTTGACATATCCAGGCCACAAATAGGCTGATGTGTCCAAAATGTTTCTGGCTATGCAGGCCTCAACAATTAGATGGCGAAGGTTCCCAGCTGCAATTAACATAAGTTAGATAAATATAGAAGATAAAAGTAAAGATGATGCGGTGACAAATAATAAACAATCCTTCATGAACTACATGTCACACTCCCGCCCAGCCATCTCAGTTGCAAACAAAAAATTAAATATAACAAAAACAAATTAAAATTAAACTTAAGCTAATATAGGCACACAAAGAGAAGACAGAAACTCAAAAAAGGCGACTAAAAGTTCAGCATGTGAATAAGAGAAACACAAGAAAAGAGAACGAACAGGCGATGCAAAGAAATCATCATTGCACGGGTAACCATATAATATATATACCAACACATTCCACCCTGAACCCTATACTGGTCTATAAGCAAGCCAACAATACAAAAAGAAGAACTTTCAAGTTTCAATCAGTGACTTTACCAATAAACAAAAATGATGGAACTCCGCAAATATCAAATACTCACAACAATTCAAGGGCATGTCATTCAAGCTCATGCCATCTAGGTGCCCACCGCTAACTGTTACGCCTGAAAGGAACAACATTGCTTTTGCAGCAGCTTGATTAGCCAATGAACTTACAGGTGGTGGTGGATCCAACAAGCCTTCAAAGTCACCCAACCACTGCAGGCTGCACACTAAGTCCTGACGGCGCTTTCCCTGCGGCTGGATATCTTTTCTTTGACTGATAGAATTTTGTTCAGCTTCACTAACCAATTTAATCTCTTCTTCTTCAATAATATTCACAATTGCAAGTGTTGTGGTGGACAATAACATGCATAAACAAGTGTCAAGGAGAGGAACAGGACCATCACTTGAATTTCTCTCCTGAATGGATCCAAACGGGGGAAAAATAACAGAGTTAATATTGCATAAAATTTAGCTTTCTAAAAGCAAAAAGGCCACAATATTGAGCTGTATTAACAATTATTGAACACATATCAACTGGAAATTGATTAGTAAATTCTTGTAACATATTGTGCAAGGTGTAAGAAGAGAGCCTCAAATCATATAAATTGTGAGGCAAAAGATAATCATAGGGTTTTGGTCAGATTATGATCACACTCTTAAGTTTCTTTTTTTCTTTTCTTTCTCTCTTTTTTTGTTTTATGTAAAAAAGAAGGAATAACTTACTTTGTCTAGAAAATGCCAACATAAAAGGAAACTGGCAATTATTTTCGTACCATCATTTCATGGATAGAAATTTCATGTCATTAAAAAGGCCTTGTGTTAATAATATACCAGAGCAAATTTGCAAGGAAAGTAATTGTGTTAGTTCTTACTCTCTGAACAACACGTAAAGCGGCAGTCCACAAACCAAGGAATGTATCCAGCCAAGTGGTCTGATTTAGAGCCTTGAGAGCCTTCACCAAACCTGAAATATGCACTTTGGATCAGAAAATTGGTAACCACATTTGCAACTTGTGAGCCATGGTTTCATGAAATATACCTGTAAGAGTTTCAGCAGCACTACTGGCCCTAATATAGCATCCATCCATTGCATCTTCTAAATAAAGCTCTATGGGGATCCAAAGGGTTGATTGAACATTACAACGATAACTACCAACATATTCCGAGGGAGATTTAGCTATTACAACATGAAATTGTTTTGAGTTTGTTTTGCATTCATGTGACAGCACTTGGCGAGTATCAGACGCTAATTTCAAGAGTGCCTCCGGAGATATATATTTTGAGTTCCTTAAGGATGATGAATTTGTTGCAAGCAATCTCAAATTCTGAGTGAAGCATTCCCAGTCCTTTGGCCTATAGAGAAAATGAGGAATGCATATTGTAAAACTAGTATATTTTTTTGGAAAGTAGAAATAGTTTTTTATGAGAAAGAGATCGGTAGAAAAATCAAGCTACAGACAAATAAATAGCTCAACATTTTATTTTATTTTATTTCTTTTTCTTTTTTTTGTAAAACTTGTACTCCATATGATTCCGGGTAGGTCCAAAACAAGCATAAACTGTGTCTTAAATACATCTCAACTATAAATTAAGCACAAATTGGTAAAAAGAAAAAAGAAAAAACCCAAGCTACAGCCAGATAGATAGCTCAACATTTTTTTTTGTGAAACTTATATATGATTGTGGGGAAGTCCAAAACAAGCATACTATTGTGTATTAAATGCATCTGGCAATTATAAATCAAGCTTAGATTATCTAAGAGTCAAAACTGTATTTCCGAAAAAAAAAAAAAAATAAAGGAAAAAATATATATACATATATTTATAGAAAATTGCGTACATGTTCCGGCGGGCCAAGTAGAGGATCCGGGAAGTCATTTTGTTTTGAAAAAATTCACCAATTATTTCAGTAGCCATAACAGTATTTTTCTTACTCAATGCCACCTGATACTCCATTATTTTTCCTTCAAAATTATCAAGAGAGTCAACTTCCATGTCTTGACTCCTGACTGGCCACCTTGATTTCTTCTCAGGAGTGAGTTCTAACAGAGCTTCATCGTCAAGTGATGCATCAAGCAACTCCCACACAATTGAAAATATAAATTCAACAACAATGATCCCTGGTTCAGAGGAATGCATCCCGTATATCTTATATAGCTGGAGCACATCATTAATAGACTCCATTATCCTGAAATTAGGTAGCTGATGGAATCAATGCTAGCAACAAAACTCTTTCAGAAATTATGATGCTAAAAAAGTCAATAATTAAAAGCAAAATGAAAATCGCATTTCCTTCATTTAAACATCAACTTTTTCGTCAAAACATAAGATCGTCGGATTGCCAGAAGAAATGAAATAGAGATACGACACTTGGAACTACTTATACTAGATTTTTGTAGAACTCGACACTCACAGTTCATCTGCTAACATATCACACAAACACAACTGAATGCAATGCATATAATTCAATAAATCTAAGGAAAATGATAGAGTTGAACACTATAGTTACATATTACTTTGGAAGCATATGCACTTTTTGTAGGATTCGATGGATTTTGCATGAAAACACACATATAGTAAATTGGAAAGTCACACTTAACAAAAGACACGCACAATGACTTCTACGATAAGATAATATTCGTCCAGTTTCCGCATACTAAACATTGACTATGTGTGGAAACTGTATCTTATTGAGGCGTGAAACCAGAAAAATCACCCCACCGACCAGCACAGGTTAAATATGGTTGAACAAATGGGAAGAAATCCAAAAGATTATATACAATCCAACTCAACCACAATCAAACCAACCCCAATCAAACCGCATACAATTTTGCTAAATGACACAAGATTCAAGAAATGATAATTGTTCCGAATGCTACATGACCTGCTGTCCCTTCAACAGTCAGAACCCCGTAACCAACTAAAACCATGAACAAATTGATGTATCTCCACACTAATCTTTCACCTGGGGAGAAAACTCCCTCTCATTCAACAATATATCCCACCAATTACATTAAAAGTTGCAGTTGTATTCTCACATACATCCATCATGATCCTCGAACTCATTTGGAATGAAAAAAAATAAACAAATATACAAATAACCACGCATAAGGCTTCAACAGTACATAATCATTCAGCTAAGAAACACTTACGAAATAAGTAAGATACACTGAGAGCTCAGGGTAAGTATCCACAGCGACAATAGTAAAATTTCAACGCAGATGAACATACCTCTGATAGTTGGGACCGTTGATCAGAGATGGCAGTGAGAAAGCATATCTTTTAAGAAGCTCCATGTACAGTCTATAGGCAGAAGGGTACTTCCTCCGCATCGGTATTACCCTGCACAATACTCCCTCATCACTTCACATCAAACCATTTCGAAAATACAATTGCAAGGTCAATCCGATAAGCATGACATGAAATGATCCTGCCTCTACACGCAGATATAATAAACTTTTTACTCGATCAGAAAAGGAGCACCCAAATGATTAGCGACGACGTTAAATGCAAACCTGTGAGAGAGAAGGGCGAGGACGAGCATAGGTGGAACAATTCGAATGGCGAACGCCTTGTCCAAAAACTTCCAGGCAACGGGAGTATTATTCGACCAGCAGATGTGAGAAACGAGAGCCTCCGCCAGCTCGACGGAGGGCATGGAAACTCCGGCGGCGGAGAGGTTGGAGGAGAGCTCTATCGACCACATGAGGGGGTCAGCGCCCCTCTCCTGCGCGGACTTGGTCAACTCCATTACAGAATCCAACCATCGGTGCTTCACCTCCGCCCCCATCCCTAAATTAAATCAAATTTGTTTGAATTACTCGTGGAATTGAAGAAACTGAGGTCAAGTCGGAGATGAAAACGGCGACGTGAAAGCGTCCTCCGGTGGTCGGCGAGAAGAGTGGGAAACTGCGAATCAGGAGCATGAGCAGGAAGGTTCAATCAGCATCGAAAGGAAGTCAATTTTTGAGTACCATTCTGTATGTATGTATGTATATGTGAAACGTAGGCTTACTTCAGTCAATGTATTTGGAAGTTTGTGGAGAGTTATTTAATGAAAATATATATACTCCTCCGTAGAGTAAACGAAAACATAAATTAAATAAATAGATAAATATACCCTTATTATTTTCCAACTCCAAATAAATAAAAGCTATAGGTGATTAGGTGCCTTTGTTCTGTGTTTTGATTTGAACAAAAAAAAAATTTAAATGAAATATAAAAAATTATATAAATAATATTAATTTTTTTAAAAAAATATATTAATATTTTTTTTGAAAAAAAACCAAACCCATACTCCCTACGAGATTTTCGTCAAACTACCATTCAATTTTCACTTATAAATATCAAATTTACATTTTATTAGAATGCAAAATTAATACATTCAAACAAACCTAGATTTTTTTTTTAATTATTTTTTATTTTTTTACCTTTATGATATTATTTTACTGTTCCATAGATATCTTTTATCTTGTTTTTATCTAAATTTATCAAATCCAACAATAATTTTTACTTTAAAAAATCATTACAAATATTTCCCCTAATTGTGTATTTGTTTTGATTTTCTTGTTTTTTTATCCTAAAAATAGAAATTCAACAATCCAAAACTCTAAGAGACGCTGATTCAATTAGTCCGATAGCTGATTCAATTAGCTGGTTTGACTAGTTGATTCGATTGGTTGTTTGTATTAAAATGTTTGGTAAAACAGCCGTTTATACGTATATTATGTTTTTTTGAGTTTAGAATGTTTAAAATGTTTTGTTATTAGTTATTGAAAATTGTAAAAAATAATAAATTTTTCATATATATATATATATTTATTATGTAAATTATCGATTAGTTCATTATATTTATAATTTTCAATAAATTTAATTTATTTTTAGTATAAAATTTATATAATGTAATTTTAATAAAAAAAATAAATTATTAATATTTATATTTTTTATTTATATTGATTTTAATAAATTTATATATTTTATAATTAAAATAATTTTTATATAAAAATTAATTATTTTAAATTTATAAAAGTAAAACTATAATATAATAAAATATTCTAATATAATTAATAAATAATCAAAATATATTTATTTGTGTAAAATTTATAATAAATTTTTAAGGACATATAAGGAATAAAAAAATTTTTACGAGTCCAAAAAACTATTCCAAAAAGCTAATTTAAAATTAGCTTTTTGACTGGCCAAACCTCTTCAAAAAAGCTATTTATCAAACACTCCCTAAATCATTTCTCACATAACTCCAAATAAGTTATACCATAAAAAAACAGAATTAAATACACCCTTAATTTTTTTGAGTTTTCATATTTAAACATTTCCTTTAAACATTTAAAAAAAAAATCAAATCAAATCTTAAAAAACATGTCAAAAACACAAGAAAAGAGCAACCCGAAATAATAGAGAAAAAAAAAAAAAAACAAACTATTAATCTTCCATTCTACATTTAGCATGTCACCTTCAAAATGGCTATTTTGATTAACACAGCACAAACTGGAATTTTTTCAAGAAAATTTTCCAGGTGAATAAAATTAAAGCCTTCAAATTTAATTGCCATTTCGATGAACAGCCTTGGCGTTCGAGAGCTACCCGCCCCGAGCTTCTCTTCTGGTGGCATCATGGAGAAGTTCAACATCGACGCCCTCAGGCGGTAGCTGGACGTATCTGACCACAGATCCTCTGATGAAACAGTTCCGCACAGAGAGCTGACAGACAAGAAAATTGCTCTGTCATTGAACAGCAGCCAAAGAGAATTAAGACATTCAAGAATGAGTAGATACAAAATTTACAGATCTTTGTTAAGTGGCGTGTAGTTAGATATTAAAGAGTTTTCCAACAAAAAAGTATATGCACATGAAACCCTAGAACTGATACTTCCACCAATTTTTTGGAAAATATATTTTTGACCAAAAATACATCCCATCCTAACACATATTTTACGTTTAAAGCATCAAATCAAGAAATTATCATTTATTACAAGTTTCAAATTTGAGACACTCGAAAACACTACTAAGTTGCAAGCAAACACACTGTAATTCGTCCAAGCCATTCAAGAATCTCTGAATTTCAATCTAACAAACTTGAATAGTCTAACATCTGATCCCATTTGAAGGTAAATAAATATTAGTGTTGAGGCAAACTGCTGATGCTTTGAATGTGGAAAATTTGTATATGATACAAGAGCCTTTTTAATTGTTGACTTTTGTGCATAAAAACTAGAATCAAGGTAAATTGAAGGTTTTTGTGTATAGAATCTGAATTCAAGGTAAGTTGAAGATTTTTGGGCATGAAAACTGGATTCAAGGTAAATTGAAGATTTCTGTGTAGGAAAACTGAATTCAAGGCAAATGGAAGGTGAAGATTTATGTGTATGAAAAATGGATTCAATTTGTGCAAGAAAACTGAATTCAATGTAATTTGAAGTTGAAGATTTGTGTATGAAAAATGGATTCAATTTGTGCAAGAAAACTGAATTCAAGGTAAATTGAAGATTTTTGTGTTTGAAAACCGAAATCAAGGTTTATCTATAATCTGAAACCTATCCCAAGATTCTAACATTGAACAACCAAAAGGCTGCATCCAACCATTTTGTCTTCCAATTTTGAGCGACGGTGTTTATTGAATTCAATTCCAACGCGCACAAAGTTGCAAATCATGGAAACCAAATTAAACAGAAGATAAAAAAACCTAAAAACTAGAATTCTGGAAAACCTAGCAGTATATGCCATTTTCAATCTTAAACCCTAAGCGCGAGGGTTACGGAGAATTTAATTACCAAAAATCGAAGAGAAAGAAGCAGAATCCTTACCATGTGGGGGTACTTATCTTGATCAACAACCCTGGTGTTCTCCAACTTAATGTTGAGATACTGATCCACCGAATGAAGCGTTCCCCTAATTGCTAAATCGTTCTTCAATTCCACCGTCACTTCTCTCCCCACCAAATCCTTGAAATACGAGAAAAACAACTGCGCAAAATGAAGCAGAAAACAAGCGATTAGACCAAGTAGGGAAGTAGTGGAAGACGACGAGAATCATTCAGTACCATTTTCGCTGCTGCGGAGAGCTTCGAAATCACCAACAGTCGACGGGCGCTCTACCGAAGCGATGGAATGCCAAATGTGCGCCTCAAGATTCAAGAACCCTTAAATTAAACTTTTCTGATTTTGCAGGAAAGTCCCTCAAATTTGTTTTAAACCCAATGACGTCCTTCAATTAGCAAATATCCTACACAAAGTTTGGAATCCTTGGCCAATGACCCAATCGGTTCCGAACCGGCGGTTCGAACCACCGGTTCGTTGTTTCAAACCGAAACCGCCATCTAAAATCGAATTTTAGAACCGCCGGTTCTTTTTTCTTTTTCTTTTTGGGAAAAAAAGAAATACAGTATTCCCTCCATCCGAACCACCGGTTCGTTGTTTCAAACCGAAACCGCCATCTAAAATCGAATTTTAGAACCGCCGGTTCTTTTTTCTTTTTCTTTTTGGGAAAAAAAGAAATAGAGTATTCCCTCCATCCCAATCAAATAGTTTTGTTTACTATTTTTGTCCGTTCCAAAACAATAGTCTTATTTCATAAATAATTATATCACTATAAAATTACCCTTATTTTTTTCATTAATATTACACAATTGCCACTATTTTTTATATTAATTTTATCCCGTACTTTTTATCGACTCTCAAACACAACTTAGACTATAGTTCTGGACGGTGGGAGTATAAAACTCACCGATCACCTTAACGTAGTTGCATGCAATGGAATGGAAAAAGAGAAAATAAAAATGAAAATATAATCAATCTAATTAACATATAATATGTATAGAATCATTCAAACTTATTTATTTCAATCTAATATTTTTATTTGAATTTAAAATTCAATACTTTTTAAAATTAATTTATATTAATTATAATATTTTTTATTTAATTATATTATAAAAAATTCTCTATAAAATAATATAAATATATATATATATATTTTATAATATGAAAATTTATCTACGGCTATGTGGGTAAACAACTATTAATATTCATTCAAATTATATGAATAAATATAATAGATTATAGATATATTTTGTGATAGATTTCTATTACTTTTTATTGCACAATTTTTAGTTTTTATTTTGTATGTTTTGATTTTCATTAGTCTTAAGATGTAGTAATTAAAGATATTCGTCCATTATTAGCACATTTAAGTTCAATATTTAAAAAATTAATATTTTATTTAAAAATGATAAAAAAATAAAAATAATAATTGAAAGTTTTTTGAAAATTTAATTAAAAATTTTAAATAAATAAAATAATATAATAAAAATAACAATATTTTTATTAATAATTATTCAACAAAAAATAATAATTAAATACTACTATATTTCTGTCCGGCTCTAAAGATAATATTAATTATTATATCATACAAATTAAGAAAAAATTACAAAAATACTTTTATTAATATCTCATAATACTAATAGTAAAAAATTTATATATAAAGATATTTTGAATGTTCAGTAAAAAAATAAATAAATAAATATGACCCATAATAATAAAATAAATTCAACCGACAGCCATTAAAAAATTTGATGGACAGAGCAAGTTATTTTTGCTAACCCTTTAATTTTTTATTTATTTATTTTTTTTAAAAAAAGAAGCATAATGGAGTTTTTTTGATCAGAAGATAGAAGAAAATAAGAGCACAAAGAAAAGCCATTGCCAATCTGAAAAGCTTTTTTAGCAGACTTACAAACAAAACAAAACATTACATCCCCACAAGACCAGTGAGTGAGGATCTAACGTAGGCAAAACAGCATCCAATTTTACACACAGATGAGATGAGAGTGGAAGTGGATGGATGGATAGATGGATGTACACAATATTACAACACCATCAAAAGACCAATCATTTACATTCGAAAGGATATGGGGTACCTGCTACTACTGCTGCTTTGTTTATAGTCTTTGCTTCACTCGTCTGCCATTGGCGTCGCTTCCATCAGGGATACCACTTTCAATCCCTACAGGTATCGAGTGTTCACTGACCCGGGCAACATATTCCAACAATTCGGTCAGCACTTGGGGGCAGCTTTCCTTGAGGTACTCGAAACCATCTGTCTGCATCACATCTGAAGAAATTCGATTTTACATCAGTGGAGATTCAAAACAATCGATATATGACATCATTTCTTAAATCACCAATCCTACATTTTCTTTCTTTCTTTTATTTTCTTGAGTGTTTTGGTACCCGCCAATCCACAATGACTAAAAGGTACCACAAGAAAACATACGTTTCTAGAAAAAATTGACGGTTTATGGTTAACTCATTTAACATATTCGATGATGATACCCAACATTCAGAAACAGTTCAATAAGATGATGCTTCCATAGATTTCCCAGAAGTAAAAATTGAGAAGTTACACTGTGGGCAGGTGCAGAGCAGGAATAAATGCACAATACTACACCTTTATACCGTAATTGACAAATGGATAAAAATGCACAAATTTCTAGGCAAGGACTAGAAGCATCTAAAAGTTATAAACATCCAAAATCTGTCCTTGAAGGAAATGAGATAACTGATAAAAAATGTTCGATAATAAACAGTACAATCAATTGTACTTATGATAGTAAAATCACTCATAAAAATAAAAATGACAAGATAATTATAAGACAAACGAAAATCTATAGAATTGAATGATGGGCTGAGTACATGAGAACCTAAATAAAAAAGCAAATAATTCAAATGAGAAATTCCACAGGGACCTCCCTATTAGGAAGTTCTTCAATCACCAGGACGCTAGGTACTAGAAGTTCTTTTCCCTATCTGCCATGTCTACCTAGGTCATTTTCAATGCATACTTGGAGCGATTTCCTAAGCTTTGGAGGATGGGGTCCCTGTAGAGGTGAAGTCTTATCTATTGATGGATGCACCTAGCGAACAAATTCATAGATACAGAAATCTGGTACAGATTTTGCAAAGCTCTCTTTGGAAAATTTCAATGCTAGAAATGCTCTCATTTCAACAACGGAGTCAGAATTTCATACATGTCTCTAAGTTGGGGAATGGCTAGAGCAAAATTCTTTGTCACGACCCAACCATACAATTATTACACAGTTATCCCATTTCCAATACAAGTGCCAGAAATTGACCTTCTATAGGAAGGGGATTGCTACACACAACCAGTGACGGATCTACATTGGAGCTTGGGGGGTCAGAGCCCCCAGGCTCTTCCCAATTTCTTCTTTTTAATTGTTTCAAATAAAAAAACAAGCTCGAAATAGGTTGAAACTAAAAATAAACTGTAAAAAAAATGAAACAAATAAACATGACAACTTTGCACCCCGGAGCCGCAAAGCTGGTTCCGTCACTGCACAAAGGGTGGGGGAAAAGAAACACTAAGCATTGATAGTGTTACCAGAGATCCACGGACATATTAAATATTATAGATGTTCAAATGATAGGCAATGGCAGAGATTCAAACAAAGTAGAAATTCTTGCCATCAATCAAATAGTTGACTATCTTATTCAAGAAGAGATTGCCCATTACCCTAAACCCAAAATGAAAATAATTTGGCAAACTTCCTCACTAAACATGGTGCTAGTAATGTTCTGCTATAGTTATCATTGTAGCTAAGCTATATTCACGACTAAATGTAGCTTACTTCCTCCACAAAGAAACTAAAAAAACAAGAAAAACCAAATAGTATTCACACCACTAGATGAGAAACTGGATGGTGCACAAAGATGCTTTGGTTATCTATATGGAGACTTTTTGATGCCCAGTGAAATGTATTGGTTAGAAAATAAAGCACTTGGCTTATAGAAGTGTAAAAAGAGGGCAGTGTAGAAAGAATTGAAAGAAACTAAACTATAAAAGGACGTATATTGCATAAATCAAGATAAAGAGTCTTTGCCTGGTGAGAACGGCCACCGTGATCGATATAGGCAACACCATGGGAAAAAAGACTTGGATTGTGATGATGATAGCACATCAACATTCCAAACTCAATCCTTCAAAGACTTGGAAACAAAACATTTAATCTACAAATCTTGCATAGTTAAAATAAATTAAACGAGAGAGAGAGAGAGAGAGAGAGAGAGAGAGAGAGAGACAATGACATACCTCTAAGATTTTCAGGTTGTGCAATAAATTTTAGACACACAGATTTCAGCTGGAAACAGTGGTGTTGTTCTGCCAACGCCAGTGTTGTTGCGACAGTACTTGTAGAAACATCCTCACAGAGGCTAGCTTCACAGAGCAATCTAAGCCTGTCTAGACCGTACCTATCAGCAGCAGCAAGAAGATGCTGCGACATCAAGGTTGAAGCCCACATTGAGTTCAATCCGGTGAGCTCTTTCATGTCCGGTAGCATGTCCCAATATATAAAATGAAGAAGAGCCTACATGGGAACAAAGAAGTACGGAAGAAAGAAAAAAACACTACTAAGAGTCAGGTCAGTAAGAAAGAAAAAAACTACTAAAACTCAGGTCAGTAGGTAGTACATTTAATTACCACGGCTACTCATTGTGCCACAAGAGAGCAATATAGATGAAAGGGAACTCAGAAAAATATGTTATATCAATTCTTTAGCCTCAAGGAAAAGCAATGGTCATCAGCAAACAATTTACCCACAAAGTACATGAGGCTGCAGCAGTAGGCAATAATTAAGGTCTTTTATCACAGTTGTTCACGATTATCAAACCTTGGTAAAGCGCATGCCACAAAATTGAAATCCATCCCCAGTATTTCAACTCCAAAAAGTATAGGTTACATATATATTCAAAAATGCAAAATGATAGTTCAAGAGCTAATATTCAACATCTAGCGCCAATATTAAACGTGCAACGTGCGATCCACTAAAGAACACTGCGTGATGTAATTGACAGTAGTGGATGGAAAGAGGTGTTCAGTATATACCTTAAAAACAGGTGCCTCCATGTCCTCAACCTTTATACACTTTGTATCTTCATCCTTCATTGGACCATACAATTGCGCTCTAAACACAGGTGAACGAGCAGCAAGAATCAATTTGTGAACAGAAAAGGTTTCTCCATTAACCTCAAAATTCACATCAGCCCCTTCTCCACTTTCCAGGAGCTGCCCAAAATGCTGACTGATATCTGATGGTGGAAATGGTATTGAGTAGATCTTAGGTCCCTCTGTGTGAGATTTAACGACACCAACACAACAATGAACATGAAGACAATCCTCTTTCAAGTAGTCCGATGTTTCCAAGGCAGTTCTTTTGAAAAAACGCTTGTATCCCCTGCAACCAGAACAATCCTAACAACAAGGTGACCATTCTCCCTTTATAACAGATTCTTTAGTCAAACAAAACAAAAATAAGGAGGAAGAGAAATAGTTCCTTGAATTCACACAATAAAAATATCTAATGAAATGCAAGATTGATATTTTTATTAGTGCTTTTAAGTTATAAAACCAAAGGAACTATATACAAATAAAACATTTCTGTATAATGTTCTATATGACCAGTGTATATTCCCCTATGTTGCATAGACCATGCTTTCTGATAGGAAGGCCAATAATGTTGGGAGCAACAAAATTAAGGCTCACGAACCTACAATAATCCATTAACAAAATTTCAAGAGATTCTAAAATATCATCCTCTATAACACAATAGAACACACAATCCCCCCTGCTTAGAACCAGCCATCTTTAAGAAAAGTGCAAATCTCTTAAATCAATACAGGGTGTGGAGAACTACATGAAGTTACCATGCAAAAAGAAGCCCTTTCAAAACAGGTATTTCAACCAAGAGAGATCCACCTCTCGACTTGACCCTCCAACAACCCTCCAGAAACACAACTCAAAACAAAACAGCATCAATTTAGTCTGTAAAACAGTACTTTCTAGCATTAAACATCATCAATTTAATCTATAACACCCAATGTCAAATAAAATTGCAAGAAAATTCATCAATCACAGATTTTACAGTAAAAACTTAGCAGCAGCATCCAACTAACACATGAACCTTCCATTCATACATTTCCAGCATTTCCAACATGATTATACACTAAAACCTACTGCCATTGGCCTTTTCAATTCACAATAACCAGGAAACAGAACAAAACTCATACCATAGCTTAAATTTAAACATAATGAGAAGAAAATGTCCACCTCAAAGAATCAAGAACAGAAAACCCACCACATACTGCCTCGGTATTTAAGAGTATAAGGCCCACTCTCTAACGCCCTACCAAAATGGCTATGGACTTTGTGTCTCTCCTTTCCACTTTGGTCCAGAAGCGTAAGCTCAAAAAGGGCCCTCACATCTGTCCCCTCGCTAGCTAACGCAATAAAAAGAGAAACATAAGTAGCATTATCCTCCACACTCTTCCCGTCGGGGTAGAAATAAATGGCCCAAGAATACCCGCCGACCATAAACGTATCCGACGCTATGTATTTCCCAATCCCAATTCCCTTGGACAAAGCATAACCCGTGATCTTGAAATCGTGAGATCCGTTGACGGTCTCTATTACAGATGTCGAAGTTGTCGGTTGCGGCGAAGTAGGGGGAGCTGATGAAAACGAGGGTTTCGACGTCTCCTGAAAAATCCGACCCATTCCAACCATTAAACCAATCGGATTATGCTTTAATCTAAATTCCTAAACAATAAACGATCTCCTCGTACAAAAATCTAATCGAGATGGAGCTTCTAGAGACAGTTCAACCGTGACATTCGGAAAAGGGTAAATTGGGTGAATATTAATCTCAGATCTGATAATATTTCAACGGAATGAGACTGGAGTGGGCCAGAGAAATGAAATGGGGTTTTTGATCGGTGCGATAGCTCGGAATTATCGACTTTTATGCGAATCTACGAGAGCAATTCTTCGATTTCTAGGGTTTCGGATCTTCCTTTTGTATATGAAGACGATTACCTGTAATCGAATGCGGGTATTTATCCTTGGCGCAGAAGTGAATTATTGCAGCGGGAAATATTAACCTACGGAGAAGACCATAAGGCAAATCCTGGACCATCATTACTTAATTGGTCCAGGACCTCTCCTTTATTATGGGCCTTTAATTGGGTCACTCTATATGGGCTACTCATAACTAATACTTCACGTTCACAAATGCATGTTAACATTTCTTTTTTTTAATTATTCATTTTTTAATATTCTAAGTGATATTTATCCGCTTTTTTAGGTAATTAATTTTTTTGTTGTAAATTGACAAAATAACCCTTGTGTATAGATATAAAAAAGATAAATAAAGTAAAGATAAAAAGGTAAATTCTAAGTATAAGAATAGAAAAAGAACAATCATATTACCTCTCCCCGTCACTTTAAAGGTTTAATTTTTTGTATATTAATTATTATATTAAAACGTAGTAAAAATTTAAAAAAATAAAAATATTTATATTAGTGTCTTATAATATTAATAGAAAAATATTTGTATAAATTTTTTTTTACAAATATAAGAATATTTTTAATATTAAATGTAATGATCCGAAAAAATAAATGTGTGTTCTTTTCACAAGTGAAGGGTATAATTTATTATCGCTTACAGAAAATAGTCAAATTATCTAACCATAATAGTAGGTATAATATTTTCTATTATCTATTTTAATCTTAGTGTTTTCGTTAGTTTCGTAGCCGGATAAATAAGAATGGAATCCATTTTATTACAAATAAATAAATATATTTTTTATTTATTTATTTGTATTATTATATGCTTCCTCGTTGTTTTTGGTAAAATTTATTAAATTTATATATATTTAACAAATATAAATCTAACTTAATTAATTTTATAATATATAACATCATATATTACATATGACCTACTCAAAATCCCTTTATTTATATATATATATATATTTTCAATAAACAAGTATGTTTATCTATATTTAAAACTCTATTTTTTTTTATAAAATTGATTTATCTTAATTAAAAATAAATATATATTTTTATTTATTTATTTGTATTATTTAAAACTTTATTTTCTACTAAATGATATCCCTATGGCATATATTTTGTTGAGATATAATATTTAAAATATTTAAGCAAATATTTTAATTTTTTAATATATATATTAATTTTTATTTTAAAACTACTAACAATACTACTTATATAAAAATATAATAAAACAATACTCCATCCGTCCACAAATTAATGTCCTAATTTTCTATTTGGAACGTCCAACAACTATTGTCATATTTCCTTTTTTAAATACAAATTTGACATTTTTATCCTTCATTCATTTATTATTTTTAATATCTATCATACATTTAAAGACAAATTTGTCTATTTATAACAAAAAGACAATCACCTAAAAAACCGTGCAAATATACTTTAGGATAACAGAAATTGAACAGATAAAGTATCATAATTTACTATTATTAACTAATTAAACCAATTTACCTTATATACCATATCAAAACTAAAATGGGCCTAACTCTGATGGGATGAAAGGAGTATAATTTTGTTGAAGTACTAATTCTGAATTTTTGTAAATATATATTTTATTTTTTTATATCATATATTAATTTATATTTTTTTTTAAAAATATCAACTCTACTTATATAAACATAATAAGATAATATTATAATTTTATATTAATAAATTAATAATTTACACTATCTAAATAACTGCGTCCCAAACAAAATGATCATTTGTACATGAAGAAAATAGTATATCCTACAGGATAGAGGCGAGCATTCTAGCCGAATTTTATAAAAAATTTAATTTGAATAATCCGAAATTCAAATTAGAAAATCCGAACCAACCAAATAATCCAAAAGTTTTAGGTTTTTTTTTTTATTAAAAAAATTATTTATTATATTAAATATATATAATAAATAAAAATAAGTATATTAAAATACAATTAATAATTAATATTTTCATTTATATTAAAATATTAAAAAAATACAATAAAAAATATATTAAAATATTACATGTCGAATTAGTTTAGATTTTAGTATATAGATTCGAAAATTTGAAAAAAAATTTAAATTTCAATTCCGTTGGAAGTTTGAATTTTTAATTGAAATTTGAATAATAAAAATTTTGAATTTAAAGAGAAGCAAACCAGCTAAAATGAAAAATTATATTATAAATTATGCAAAAATAAAGGATAATTAAGCTAAAGAAATTGGGGTAATTCGAGTGGCCCGTAAGAGGTTTGATTCATGTGATGGTTGCGATCCCTCCGGAAGATTCCAGACCATATCAAGTTGGGGGAGGGAGATATCTTTGTCTCCACTCGGAAATCCAACCTGTAATTTCTGATGTGGCTTTTCCATCGCCCTTCAATTTTGCGTCGGGGAAGCTAAAATTTTGATTTGATTCGTTCTCTATACAATACGCCAACAGACTGAGGGGGGCCTAATTCAGGAACAAAAATCTGGTGCGCATTTGCGGTGCGTGGGAGAGGAAGATGTCAAACAGGATGCTGAAATCCTCACAGGATGTCGGGGGAACCCGACGGGATTAGAGTTTCGGAGCGATTTTAAGAATTAGGGTTTCGCTCGACGGGAAGAGATGGTGGAGCCGTGTTTGATGGCCTCACAGGGGTGTCCTCCGGGACTAGGAGGCGGTGTTTTCCATCCCGAGCCGGCGTCGGAGGTGAGAGCTTTGTTTTCGATCGATTTCTTATTCTTCGATTCGATCGAATTGAATTTGGATTTGAATTTTGTTCAGGATTGACTCGTATTCTTCGATACGATTGAATTGAATTTGGATTCGGATTTCGTTTTGGATCGACTCTTATTGTTCAATCCAATCGAATTGAATAGAATTGGGATTCGTTTGTGATTCTAAGGGATTAATTGGATTGATTCTGTTCTGTAAAGGTTTTATTACTACGTATATAGATTTGTTCTTATTGCTATGGTAAAGCAATTATAGTGTTGGAGAATTCAGAAATATCAGAAATAGTAAAAGAGTTTCTGTTCATGCACCTGATTATCGTGCTTTCTGGAGATCTTAATCCTGGTTTATGTGTTCTTCTGTTGCAGGGCGTTCGCCACTTTCTCCCCTGTCATGGATTGAACCAAGAACTGGTAACTCCCCTCTCGTTAAATTCAAATTTGCAGCAGAAAGAAGAGCGAAGGCGTACCGTTGGTATAGGAGAATCTGGCCTCTCTGCCGTGATCGATGCAGCCCATGAACGATCAGCTCTGCTCGACTTTCAAGGTCAAACATATTTAATCCGCTAATCTCTGCATTTCTGTTCAAATAGCTTAGCTCTGTTTGCTAATGAAATGAAATACTTACTGTTTGAACTGGAATTCATCAATTTCTTGTTTCTGGTAGTAATGGAATTTTTTGTTGCATGATTTTGAATTAAACACTGACTGTTTCTTTTTCCGGCAGATGATCATCCGGAATCTGTTCATTTCAGCATTGGAATTGCTGAACGATGCGCCCTGCAAGATAAGATCATGAAGTTATTAGCATCTGGATCATATGAAGAGCAGGACATACTGGCTTTATCGAAACTTTATTATATGATGGGACCCCAGCGGATGATTGCAGAATTGCCTCAATCAAATCTTATATATCCGAGCAGCGAACTCTACTTATATGAACCGACCTTGGACTTGGAAGGGTATAGGAGCACCTGTCCCGAGAAAGCGTGCCAACCTGATATGCACCTGCAATTTTATGCTGGCAATGAAATAAGAGAAATAGTTTCGGTGTTATCTGAATTACACGCATCGAAAGATGCAAATAAATCCACTAAGCAGACGATGTTGGTCCCCTACTTTGAGAGGTAATAAGCTTCATCCTTCATTTAATTGCTCAGCTATTTCTAAATTTCATATCCGCAAATTGTATGTTTTGGTAAAAGTATTACCTTTAAATTGACTAACGTAGTTCTTGAGCTCTCCGGAAGCCTTTTGATTCAATGGGCATTGCATATATTAAACAGAGTAGAATTGTTTGACAAAAGTAAAATTGTTCGACAAAACTAAGGATGAACATGGACAGCATGTATAACATGTCTGAACTTCGAATTTTATTTTCTTGTCCTACTTGTTTCTGATGGATGTTCATCCACCTCCAATAATTTCTCAGGCGAAGAAGACCACGTGCAAAAACTGATGCAACGAAGCCTGCGACCGAAAGAGCAGGTTCTTCAAAGCGGTAAGAATGCATATATCATAAGTTACCCTGTATGATATAATGAAGATATTGGATAAGTTAATGGTTCCGCCAGTCTATTTACTGTTTTGAAGGATGGAATGTATGATTCTGCATATTCCTAAGAATTTTCTTGCAAATATTCTTCTAGAAATAGATGCCTTTTGTCTCGATTTCCTACGATGGTAAGATTAGAAAAATAGGCAAAGCAGCTTATGGTTGTTTCATACAAGATATTGATTTTTATGAAAACACATTGTGACGAATACTTACTCTAAGCACTCTTCTACAGCAATGTTAAGGCGCCATCAAAGAAGAAAGCGGCTAGGAGAAGCAGTAAAGAGATGGTTCCCTATAGTAACACCTACCTTCATGCATGTGAAAGCCTTCTGTCTGTAATTGCCGACAGGAATCGGCAGAGTAGTGCGATGATCTCCCTAAAAAGGTCGAGACAGCTGCCACAATTTCTGACCCAATGCTCCGCCACCATTGCCGGGATTGGAATTTCCGTTGTTGTATGCGTCCTCTGCAGAATCACTTTTGGTGCATTCCATTTCTCTTCATCGAAGCTTTTGAGCACCGGGCTGGGTTTCGGCCTCGTGTGGCTCTCCTCGGCAGTCTATAGACTGAGGGACACTGTTATCACCATCACCAAGACTTCTAGCGAAAAAGAAGATGAAATGATGAATCACCTCGACAAAAATTTGAAGGATATTTACTCCAGGGCGGCGACATTGATGGCGCTCGCAATTCTGAGTTTGTCGTGATCGATACTGTGTAAGACCCGAGCAACAACCTGATATGCATTTGTACGATGCCATTAGGTGTTGATGAGAAGCTGCTGCAGGTATGAGCACCCGAGCAAGAATTGCATTCGATTGCTGTTCTTTACCTGTGGATATCAGTTTTGAATTTTGATGTAGCATACTTGTTTCTAGTTTCTTATGCACGCCGAAATAATGTTGTATGGAACAAAACCAGACTCAATAATGTACTAAAGTCTGTCATCTAAGATGTTTTCGCTTTCTCTACTGGTTTTGCAAAGCTTTTCTGTCGGGACAGGACTACTAGAAGATGCATAAATGTATTAGCTCAGGCATGTAAAAGTAGTTGAAAGCGAAAATGGTACGTATTGATTATTGCTAATGTAGATGACAAGTGATCCATAATACACAATTTATGGACAAACAAGTGAATGTTACTCGTTACACGCCGTAAATGCCATTGCCAGTGAAAAGTATATTGAAGCCACAAATTTATCTGAAAAGTTACGGGGAAGACAAAACCGGAAATGCCGAGAAATCACTGTCTAACTAACTAATAACTTTTGAAACGACTCCAGCACCGACAGTTCGACCTCCTTCCCTAAGAGCAAATCTTTGTCCTGTCGTTTAGGAAAGACAGATTATAATCCAGATGAAATCAATGGGTCATAATATAACATGGAAAATAGAAAGATCTCGGAAAAACCTGCTTCTAGAGGAACCGGGTAAATAAGTTCGAAAACAGCAGTCACATTGTCGCCGGGCATAACCATCTTAACATTTTCAGGCAACTCGACTTTACCAGTGACATCAGCGGTCCTCATGTAAAATTGGGGTCTATAGTTCGAGAAGAATGCGGTGTGACGGCCACCTTCTTCTTTTGTGAGGACATAGATCTCCGCCTCAAATTTTGTGTATGTTTTAATTGTACCTGGTTTTGCAATCACCTACAGGGGAAGTTTATATAGACATAAGATAATACATATAAACCCGCATACGTGGAATTTTAGTTTCAATATGTAGATTGAAGTAAAACTATGAGCTAGTCTCATATGGAGGATAAGATCAATTGAATTGGACTAACCATCCCTCTTTGGATCTCATCACGTTTCAATCCACGTAGAAGAAGTCCCACATTGTCACCAGCCTAACAAGAAGATAAGATGTCGAAACAAATGTAAAGCAACCACACATTGATTCAAAGTAATCACAAAAAATCAAATGCGTACCTGTCCAAAATCCAAAGTTTTTTTAAACATCTCAACACCAGTTACAGTAGTTTTAAGTTTGTTCTGCAGCAGACAAACACACAACAGCATCAGAATGAGTCCAACTGAGGATGCCGATGAAGAAACATATATAGATAGCATAAACTAACAGTACACAAACAGATTCCACAAATCACAATACAGAAACGTAGCTATACAATCTTGATGCAAATGGTGAGAGTGGATCAGGTTGCTTAAAAGTAAGCCAATTATAATTTCACATTCCAGCTTGGACAGTACTGCCGCAAGCCAAGTTACTGCTGCATTTTTGTTGTAACTTGTAAGATGTGTATTCCACATTCCAGCTGGGTCAATACAACAAGCAATCTAAAAGACTGTCTAATTTTTGCGATAGGATGCATTACAGCTGCTTCCCAGTACAGAAAGCCTTCACTAATACAAAACACTGTATTATTGATTATCGAAGACAGGTTTCTTAAAGTTAATCACTGTGAAACAGGTGAAGTAAGATAATAGAGATGTGCGTACTATTGGAAAAGAAAGCTTCCAAACAAATATGCACTCTCACAACAACAGCCTGATGCTCTTTGATTATCATGGAACTACATACATATATGAAATGAAGCTGGGACCTCACTTGGTTTCAATCTTAGATTTAGATAAGATCAAGTTACTAATCAAGGATCGCCTTTAACCTCGCACTTACATATATATGTGCAACAATCATAAGCTCATAACTCCATTCATTTTCACCCAAAGGCAAACAAGATTTTAAACCAGTAATATATGGTGAAAAAAAAAAAAAAACAAATAATATTAACGCTCCAAAAAAGTTCATGACTCACCTGAGACAGACCCAGGATTTCTACTTCTTCCCCAGGTTTGATTACACCCTGTTCTACTCGGCCAGTTGCAACAGTACCACGCCCCTTTGAATGCGACATAGAAAGAATCAGAAGTACAGAAGATACAATATTAATATTATTGTATGAATAAAACTGCAATTTATTTTTTTCATATTTTTGGAGGTAATCATATCTGTGAGCCATGACATCAGAACACTGTCCCATCATACAGTATCTACCAAAAAGAAAACAAAAACTATTGATGAAAAATGAACAGAGAAAAAAGATTTAAGAGTAAACATGCAAAACTAATGTGATTATCATACTGATAATGAATCCACTAGCATCTCTATGAAATACTCAATGTCAACCTAATTTGCCAATCTTTTACCAATTTGCCCATATCCCTAAGTATATGCACATTAACCCAAAACCTAACTATTACACCAATGTCAGTATAATCGCCTCTTTTCATAATTTTATTATATTAAATAAAGTATGTGCAAACACAACATCAAAGAAGCAATGAAAAACTTATCAGTTTAAAACTATTCACAGAACATTTACATCAGAAACACAACTAAACTTAGTTCACACAAAGCTTGAAGATTTTTAAAATAAGAAACTAGAGATACAATAAAATATAATTTTTCAATACCTGAATGGTAAAAACATCCTCAACCGGCATCAAGAAAGATTTATCAAGTTGCCGTATCGGGTCTGGTATGTATGAATCTACAGCTTCCATCAACTTTAAGATGGCCTTCCTCCCAATTTCCTCATTTGTACCCTCCAATGCAGACAAAGCTGATCCTCGGACAATAGGAATATCATCCCCAGGAAACTTGTAGAAGCTAAGCAATTCTGAATTCCAATCCAATGGAGTGATTAATCCTAAAATGAAAAGGAGTATATGGAAATGCATTTAAAAAATTTACTTACCACGTAACTCCATTTCCACAAGTTCCAGCAATTCAGGGTCATCAACAGCATCAACTTTATTAAGGAAGCACACAAGTGATGGTACACCAACCTACATCAATAGTTAAAGATTGGAAATGTTGATACCAAATGGAAGTACAAAAGCAATTTACGTTAAGATGAGAACCTGGCGTGCAAGCAGAATGTGTTCCTTAGTTTGTGGCATTGGTCCATCTGGGGCAGATACAACAAGAATACCCCCATCCATTTGTGCAGCTCCAGTAATCATGTTCTGCATTTTATTAATGGTCAGGTGCAGCCCCACATCAACAAATAAAAAGACTTGCAGAATTGATAACAAGATTTATTTTCAAAGTGATTTCAAGTTTGTTTTATCATAGGCCAGTAGCATCATTAGTATAGTAGATTCATAAGTACAATAACTTCAATATTCAATAGAATTTAACATGTTAAATTTCTTGAAGAAATGCTTCAATTCAAACAAGTAGATTTACATCTCACTTTGACATAATCAGCATGCCCAGGACAATCTACATGCGCATAATGTCTCTTTGCGGTTTCATATTCGACATGGGCCTGCAACATTCATAGACATAAAGTAGATTAAAAGAACTCCATCTAGGAGGAAAAGCAGGAATAAAGAAGGGAACACTCTAACCGTGGCAATTGTAATTCCTCTTTTTTTCTCTTCTGGAGCTTTATCAATTTCATCGAAGGCAACAGCCTTAGCTTTCCCCTCCTCTGCTAAGACCTTCAAATGCGCAAATAATGAATTTCAAGGACATGAATTTACAAATTTCAGATATGATGTAACAAAAACTAATAACTTAGTATGACGAAGAAATGACACTTTCCTAGAACCTACCCTAGTGATTGCTGCAGTTAAGGTGGTCTTTCCATGGTCAACATGCCCAATGGTTCCCACATTCACATGAGGCTTCCTGTCACCAAGTAATGCACCAACTAATTGATATAAATTACCAGCTCTTAATCATTAGTTTTGATTTCACAATTCCATTAGGACCAGGACCAGCACCATTTCCTCTATCACAACAGAGATCAGAAGTTCACAAAAGAAACAAATTCATTTAATACCATTCAGAATCTAAAGGAACCAAAACGCCCTATAAAACTACGAGCAAATGACAGAAATGACTAGAAACACGAATGACCACAGCCAAAGAGTGTATCAATTACGTGCGCGTAAAAGTGGCCATGGATCTCCAATATGGATTCGAAGTCTGATATGGCGCGATCGTCGATTCCGGCGGGGAAAACGGCGACGAAACCGCCGATTCCCGGCAGCACGCCGCGTAAATTCGAGGCGACAGTATCATTACTCGCTTCAAGCTGGAGTTCCTCGCCGCCACCAACGCCATTCTCACAGCAACCTAATGAGATCCTGCAACTGAGAAATGAAAAACTTCTGGAGCCGAAGACCGGAAAGCAGACTTTGGAGGGTTCAGGGTTTTAGACAAAACATGACTAGGGCTTCTCAGAGCTCCCCCCTGCACAGCCTACGACGTCGTTTCAGCCTCCACAGAAAATGGGCTGGGCCTTGCAAAATAAAGGCCCAATTCAATAACCCGCTTCTTGAATATCGTGTTTAACAATAGCGCTTTTAAGTTTGCTTCGTCCTCTGCTTTACTCAAGGGCTTTTCACTTTTCAGAGTTCCTTCCAGCTCAGTTAACGACGTCGTTTTCAGCAACCGCAGAAAATGGGCTGGGCCTTGAAAAATAAAGGCCCAAATTAATAACACGCTTTTCTTCAAAATCGTGCTAGCAAAATCGCGCTTTTAAGTTTGCTCCGTGATTCCGTCCTCTGGTTCACTCCAGGGATCTGATTCTGTACTCACCGTATATCAAGAATTGTGCAATCAGATTCTATTTCAATCGGACGGTTCAGATTTACTTTAATGGCTAGCCTTTCTCATCTGTCTATTCTCACTCATTCGAAATCCCCTTTCACAAACTACAACCTTTTTCCTCTCGTTTTTGTCTCCTTTTCGATTTCTTCTTTCAGTTCTCAAACCCTAATTGGGAAATGTGTAGATATCGATGATTTGCAAACTCGTGGCGCAGGAGTTTCGATGCCGGAGAAGTGTTTATGTGTGAAGATTGTGGTCTGATCAACTCAAGCACGGCGCTTTTGCTGTTGTTTTTGTTGTCAGTTTGTTTAGGATGATTCCTTTTGGTGGAATCACGTGCTGCCTCAGCGCTGCCGCGCTGTATCTTCTTGGCAGGAGCAGTGGAAGGTTTAATTGCTTTATCTACGCCATTTGATTATTCCGTCTAGCGTTTGTTTGTGGGGATAATTAGCTCATATTTTTTTAACCATGCGGAGGAACCTGCTTTGCTTTCTAACTTGTGTATATCTTGTTTTGAGTTTAGGGATGCTGAGGTTCTGAAGTCTGTAACTCGAGTGAACCAGTTGAAGGACTTGGGTAAGCGAAATTTTGTGGATGATTTGGTTATATGTTTTGATTTTCCTCACGTTCGTAATTTTGACTAATTTCTTGTTATGGATTGGTGAGATAATAAATGACTTAATGATGTGGTTCTGTTTCTCAAGTTAGAGTTTAGCCCATTTTACTTTTCTGGAAGTACGTTTACTTCCTTAATTGGGCTTCAGTTGTTCTAAGTGCAAATATACTTCTCTAATATTAGTCTAAATTGGTGGTTTGTAGTGACTGATGATACCCATGTTACCCATTATATGAAATATTGGGAGTCATAAATATGTACAGTTTTGTGCTCAATGGAGAATGTGAGGAAGATTTAGCTCAAACTCGTGTGAAAAAAATGCCCTTGCAGCATATGTTCAGTGTTTTCATAATCAATTTTAAAGATTTAATTCGGCAAGTGCTGGATTGAACTGAACTTGATTTTGTGATGGAACCCTATTTTTATTATTAACTCAATGCTCAAGGCTTAATCACTCTTATCATGTTCTTGGGAATTTTGAAATTTGGAGGATGTACTGAAAAGTTAATAGAAGCTTTAATTCAAGGCTGCAAAATTTTCTTGTTTGGATTTTTGAACAATATTTGAATGATTAATACTGAAATGGTATGAAATGTGGGGGTTTTCAATTATTTATACTTTGTAAATTACTGCAACGTTAATTAATTGTTTTGCTGGGAATGCATTATGCCACCAAGTCTTTTGGAAAATGTGAATGCAGTTTATGTAACAATTTGAGTATTTGACTGTGTTATGGAATTTTTATATGTTAAACTGTCTGTTCAAATAGATCTTGCACAATGAAAACTGGTATTTCTCTTATGATTTGCACATCTTTTCATTGCTGATTGCAGATTCTGTTTTTCGTTTATATATATTTTCGTAATTTCCAAATAAAATCCATATGAACAAGATGGTATCCTGTGTCCCCATATATTGTTTCACAGCTCAATTGTTGGATGCTGCAAGCAAAGTGTTGCCTTTAGTCGTCTCAGTATCTGGAAGGGTTGGTTCTGATAGTCCTATCAACTGTGAGTACAGTGGTTTAAGAGGTGTAATTGTGGAGCAAACGGTACTCAAACTAGGACTAATTTACAATGAAATTTGTGAAGCAGTAAGGTACCATTCACTCAAGAAAAAGCTTTCTTTTGATGTTCTCAGGCAGAGCAGCACTTCTTGAAACACAACGACGCAGGATCATGGATACAAGATTCAGCCTTGATGCTTTCCATGTGTAAAGAAGTTCCTTGGTACCTTGTAAGATCTGAATTTTGTCTGAATCTGTTTTTCCTCAATATGATCTTGTTATTACTAATGCACATGAATACACTTCTCTATTGGTGCCAACATGTACATCTATTATTTGTGAAATGCATTTTACCTTTGTGGTTTAGAGCTACATAATGTTGTGTGTGTTTTCCTTCATGCTAGGATGATGGTACTAGTCGTATCCATGTTGTTGGAGCACGAGGTGCTACGGGTTTGGTGCTAACGGTGGGAAGTGAAGTATTTGAGGAGTCGGGGCGATCACTAGTGCGAGGGACATTAGATTATCTCCAGGGATTAAAGGTTTGGATTATGCTTCATATTGGAATATATATATATGTCAGTGTGTGGGTGTTTATGAGATCCTACGATGATCTCCAATTTTTAACTGTTGGATTGAGTTCTCTTGAGTCTTGAATTTCTGTAATGATTTCTTATTATCAGATGCTTGGAGTCAAGAGAATTGAACGTGTTCTTCCAACCGGTACACCCTTGACAATTGTTGGTGAGGTATGGATCATGATTGTTGGCAACTGATACATTGAAGATATTCCATTCATTAATTTTGATAAAGGTTATAAGTTTTCCGGAGGTTTATCTTTTTTAAGTTGGTTTAGCCGTAAGTCCTTATGTTATTTCGATTTTCAGGCTGTCAAGGATGACATTGGATCTATTCGAATCCAGCGACCCCATAAAGGGCCATTTTATGTCTCTGACAAAGCCATTGATCAGTTGATTGCAAACCTTGGTAAATGGTCAAGGTTCGTTTTTCTCAATTCTTATGCTACTTAAGTTATATGATAAACCCTTTTCTCCCAATTATGTTTACCAATTTATATTTTCCATTCATTTGTTATGTTTCTGCTTCTTCAGGTTGTACAAGTATGCCTCGATGGGTTTTACAGTGTTTGGGATCTATCTTCTTGCTAAGCATGCAATCCAATATTTCATGGAGAGAAAGCGTCACTGGGAAATGCGGAAAAGGTAACTTCTTTACATGCCATCATTAGCAGCATCTGCCACATCGCTCTTTTTGTTCATTCCAGAGAACCTATTCTGAGAAACAACGTTGCATATAGGGTGCTTGCTGCTGCAGCGAAAAGAGATGGACAAGAGGAAGGAGGTAACTTGCAGAATCCATGGCTCATATTTCCTGTTTTCAAAATGCTCGTTGTTCCTGCTTAATCTCTCTCATCCTTGTAGATTCAAACGGAAAAGCTGATAGAGTATCATATATTGCTAATAAGGACAGACTGCTGCCAGATCTTTGTGTGATATGTTTGGAGCAGGAGTACAATTCAGTTTTTGTTCCGTAAGTCCTGTGATCCTCTCCATTTTGTCCATGTGAATGATTTTATAAACGACTGCTATGATATAGTTGCAAATTTATAAATCAAATTGAGCCTCGTATATGAACAAGCAGCAGATGGATCTTAATTATTTAGTTTGCGATACATTTTCTTTGATTATCTGAGTAATAAATTATCACGATGTCCCTAGAGCTTCGATTACTGATCCTGTAAACAAGGCATGACATATTATATTTTATAGGCAAAAAATTCTTATAGCCGACATGTAGTTTGAATAGTCAGCACCATACTTTATATTTTTAAATTTGCATGAGATTTTCTCATATTTTGAAGAACATTGACACTTTAGAGAATCCCCTAAACATTGCCCATAAGGGATTATGTGCAATATTTTTTAAAATTCGTAATACGAGGAGAATGATGCTAACTTTTCAAACCATATGTTGGCTATAAGCAATTTTCCAAATTTTTTTTTTTTTTTTCAATAGTCTTCCTAAAATTATTTGGGGTACCATCTCTAGAATCCTAAATTCAAGTGAGTCATGGAAATCGAGTAAAAATTGTTTGGTTTTGATTCCGTCATTCTTGATGTGGTTTCAGGTGTGGTCATATGTGCTGTTGTATGATGTGCTCGTCGCACTTGACAAACTGCCCCCTGTGTCGAAGACGGATTGACCAAGTTGTGAAGACATTCCGGCACTGACTCCGGCCAAGCTGTTTTCTGTATGCTGAATAAGTTCGAGGAATACGTAGCTCACCGGCGGCGGTTGGTTCATTTCGACGATTCCCGACTTTTGTAGCAGTAAGTAGCAATTCTTAACATGTTTTTCTGTAAATTGAACAATACAAGTCTATCTTCAAATTGTTGGGCTTTTCCTTTTTGCCTGTGGGACACTTGAAATGAACAGATATAGTTAAGAGTTCAATTTGAGATACATCAATGAATACATAAGATTATGTTTAGAAGCTTTTGTATTAATATTCATCAATTATAACTTTTTTTAAAAGGTACCATGTTGAATATTTATTCTTGCAAAAATAATTCTTTTGTCATTTAAATTTTATGCATTTTTTTATTATCATAAAAATATATATATATTTTAATTTTTTTTAAGTAAAAAAACATTACTTTTTGTACCTTTTTTATCCTATATAAAAAAAAAAAAAAAAAAAATTACTCATTTTTATGAAATATTAGGTTACGGAGTGGTTTTTGTAGTCCTTTATATTTGTACATAATTTTTTTTTTTTTTTAGAAATCTTGTGTGTGTTATAAATGAGCCCAAGTTAGGACTGTCAATTCGTATTTTTGAGTTGTATTTGTTTCAGGTTAAGCTATAGGGTAACAAAAATTGTCAATCCGAACATGAAACCCTAGACCCAATATGAGTTTTCAAATTGACTTGATTTAGTTTTAGGTTACTCGAAATTTGAACAAACCCAACATAGATCCAAAAACTTATAAAAAAAGAATTAATTAACCTGAAAAAATTTATTGTTTATTTTAATTTTGACACCCCTGCCCAACTCTTTTTTTTCTTTTTTTTTTTTTTTATATGATATGAAAATCTGTAGTTGTTACGAAAATACACACAAAGTAAATCGAATCTAATATCTGCAAACTAGATCGACATGGCAAGTCACACAATGCGAACATGTTTAAGAGAGATATTGCAGGGTATTAGGTTCGGTCTGAGGTTTACCCAATGCGCACTTTCGAATAGCGGCTACGGGTTCCCTCATTATAAAAATAAGATAAAAATAAAATAAAAAAGAGAGATATTGCAGGTTGTATAGGGTGAGTGGGAGTGGACCATTTTTAGATCATAAGGCATGCGCGTGTAAGCATGTTGTCTTAACTACTATATATATATCATAGTTGACTTGCTTGCTTGCTAGCTAGCTAGCTACCTGTCTCTCTCCCCCCCGCCCCTCTCTCTCTCTCTCTCTCTCTCTATATATATATATATATATGTATGCACACACAGGATTGGATCGTGTCTAAATTAATTTCATTATTGTGTTATTAATTAAAAAAACAGTACTCCCTCCGTCCCACTTAATTTGTTTATATTTTCTATTTTCGTTCGTCCCACGTAACTTGTTCTTTCTATTTTTAGAAATATAATTATGCATTTTAATCGCATTTTCAATTTTAAATTTTATAATTTTTTTAATTTTAATTAAATTATTTATTTATCTTAATCTTAATCTATAATTATTTTTACTAATACACTTGCTAATTATATTTTACCTAAATTCTCGTGTCTACGGTAATACACCAATATTACATGGGATGGAAGGAGTATAAAATAATTGTTATTACGTAGGAACTCTGTTGCATCATATACATATATAAATATATCAATAAAGTGCTGGATCATTGAATTATGATATTAAAAAAAAAAATAGTATTATTAAATATTAGTGATAATCATAGAGAATTTGTTGAACAAAGTCGAAAATATATTTAAATGTAGTAGTGTTTACCACCGCTGAATACTCAAATGAGCCACATCAATTTTTTTTTATAGAGATATATATATATATATATATATACACAATTTTTTTAATGATGTCATGAAGGAAGGTTGTTGAGCAGCATAAAGGGTTTCCAATGCGATTTGTGTTTCTGTTATAGAGTTTGAAAAATTTTCGTTTGAATTTGTTATTAAAATAATATATAATAGAATAATTTTTAAAAAATATATATTTTTTTAAAAAAATAAAAATTTCAAATAATAAAAAATTAGGATTTGGTTATTATTTCAAATGTGAATCATCATTATTTATCATAAGTAATTTTTTAAAAAATATAAAAAATAATACTCCTTCCGCCCACAAACTAATGTCCTACTTTCTTATTTGGGACGTCCAACAATTATTGTCCTATTTTTTTTTTTCTAAATACAAATTTTACATTTTTACCCTTCATTAATTTATTAGAGCATCTCCAATCGACCTCTATTTATGGTGTTTCAACCTCATTTTTGCCGCGATGCTGCTCCAACCATACGCCATTTCATGCACCAAATTTAGAGTTTGCTACAGTGCAAGCAAACGCCATTTATTTATTTATTTATTTTTAATTTTTTTTATTTTTTAAAATTATAAATTTAATTTTTATTTTTAAATTTTTTTTAAAATTTCATTTTAAATTATGAAAATAAAAAGTTGTTTAAAATAATAGAAAAATTGAATATTTGAAGAATAATAGTGAAAAATGGAGTTATGGTTGAAGTAAAATTACTGTAGCAACTGCATATTTAGAGTTAAAACTGGATAAACAGAGATGATGGGTTGGAGATGGCCTTACTTTTAATCACTACCCTACAATTAAGGGCAAATTTGTCGATTCATAAAAAAAAACAATCACTTAAAAATAGTGCAAATATACTTTAAGACAATAGAAATTAGACGAAAAGAATACTCTATTATATTAAAATTCCAAGTTCAGACATAACTAGACAATTTTATTTCAGTTTAAAATTTTTAGATATATTAAACTCTGACCACATTAAAAAATAAAAATAAAAAAATGTGTGTGTAAGACACTTGTATTTTATTTAATGAATAAACCAATTCAATGACAAGGAAACAAGAAGAAATAATTTAAATAATTCAGAGTTATTCTAGTTGAGTTGAGTGTCCCCAAATAATAATGTATTACTATTATTATGTGCTTTTTGTGCCTTGCAAAGGACACTTTTATGTGCTGTCTTTATTGTATTGCCCTTAGACCCCTCTCAACTGCTTCATTTTACTTGCCATTCATTTCAGGTAGTAATCATATGTGTCTCCATGTAAATTAACAATTATTATTTATCCATCCGTCCCATAATTAGGTATCCATTTATTTTTTACGCGTAGTTTTAGAAATATTAATATTATATTGGATGTAGTAAGAATAAAATATAAATGACTAAAATAACCTTATTAGTATGGTGTGATATAAAGGTAATGGCATTTGTGTAATATATTGTAAGTTTGTAAGAGTATTTGTAATGTTAGGTAAATAGTACAATTACTAAAAAAAAAATAAAATGAATACTTTGTTACAGGACATATTAAAATGGAAAAAATGGATAGTTTGTTATGAGAAGAATGGAGTATTATTATTATTATTGTTATTATTATTACTCTCTCATAATTTGTCCTATTTTTTTATTTTTATCAGTCTCACATAATTTGTTATTTCATTTTTTAAAATATAATTATACACTTTAATCATATTTTAAAATTTAAACTTTATAATTTTTTTAATTTTAATTAAACTACTTAGTTATTTTAATCTTAATATGTAATTATTTATATAATAATTATTTTTATTAATACATTTCTTAATTATTTACTAATTATACATTACCTAAATTTTCGTATACACAGTAATGGCGCTCATATTCCATGGGAGGGATGGAGTATTATTATTATTATTATTCCTTTCCGCTCATTTCAATTAGGCATTTTGAGATTTTTTTAGTAGATTAACAAATAATAATATTTAATTTGTTAATAGAAAGTATGTAAGGATTTTTGACATTTTTGTCAATTAATTTTATATATAAAGTAATTGTGTGTTTTAAGAGTAAATTTGTAATTTAAGTAAAAATTAATAGTATTTTGGTATTACTGTATAATTACTTTTTTAAAAATAAAAAATTGATATTTTGAAATGAGATAAATAAAAATGAAAAGAAATGTACTTTAAATTATGACAAAAAAATATTATTTCTATTATAAATAATGCTTATAATATTAATTTGATTCAATCCGTTATCGGTATATGTATATAAGACAGACAATACTTATCTGACAATATATATGATAATATAATCTACAGTGTATATTGTGGCGGCACATAATATGCAATACATATTTTGACATAATAATACTAACTTATATACCTCATTTTTCTATAATTCTATCTATACATCATATTGATTTAATTTAATCAATATAATAATCGCCGCCAATAAATAATATATAAAATTATATTATAAAATATTTTTATAAATATATTATTCTCTCTGTATGTTCGTTAATTTAATGTTCACTCTCTTTATAAATTACAAATAAAATGAGTAATTAGCAGATAAAAAAATATATATATATATATAAAATAAAATAACAATATGTTAGATAATTTTATATATTTTCTAAATGAGTAAATAGGTCTAAAATGGTAAGGTAAAAATAAATAAATAAAATAATAATAATAATAATATGATGATGATCAGACATGTATGGGAGAGCAAAAAAGTACCAAAGCAGTCAACGTTTGGGAGGATACTATTTCCGTCCATCTGGTTGTCTGATTTCTTACAAATACGAAAATATATAAAAATTATAATTAATAAATAATTAAAATTCATATTTATAAAAATATTTATTATATATATATTAGTAATAATTATAGATTAATATTTAAAATAATTCATTTAATTAAAATTTAAATATAAATAATACTCCCCCTCTGTTTAATTTCTTTTGTCCTAAAATATATTTGCACAGTATTTTTATGTGATTGTCTTTTTTGTTATGAATCGACAAATTTACCTTTAATGGTATGGTAGAGATTAAAAATAATAAATGAATAAACGGTAAAAAAAACTAAATTTTGGGTTTAAAAAGAAAAATAGGACAATAGTTATTCGATATTCCAAATAAAAAACAGGACATTAGTTCGTGGACGAATGGAGTATAAAATAAGATTAAAATATATATTTTTCATGTCATACAAATTTATTTTGTATTTATTTTATTTATTGTTATTAACTAAATTTTTATAAATATTTTTACGTAAAAAATATACTCTCTCCGTCCCAGAAGTAAGTATCCATCTACTTTTTGCACGTAATTTTCAAAGATATAGAAAATATCCTTAAACTTGATTAATTAGTGCCTGAGATTAGGAATCTCTAAATACTGTATGG